CGGGGGCGGCGGCGGGCGGCGGGTCCCGGGATGCTGCCCCTCGCTCTTTGTGGGTCCCACCTTCCTCCTGCCTCCTCTCCCACCCCACATCCCTTCCTTCCTCGCCCCTTCCTCCCTGTGTCAGCTCTCCCCTGGGGCTTCTGTCCCCGCACTCCTCCTAGCTCTTGGGGGACCTTCGCCCCCTCAAGATGGTGGCCTTTGTCGGGGGGGAGCCTCACGCCAGCTGCACCTCACTCGAGGCCACTTTAGCTGCCCCCCCCCGGCTGCCTTGCCTGGCAAGCTGCCTTCTCTTCATGCCTGCCACCCATCACACCCACCATGTCTCCTGGCCCACCCTTCTCTTGGCCTCAGCCGTCCCTAAGCCACCATTCATTTGTGGTGAGTAGGGCCCGAGAGGTGATCATCCCCCTGTACTCGGCACTGGTGAGGCCTCACCTCGAGTGCTGTGTCCAGTTTTGGGCCCCTTACCACAAAAAAGACATTGAGGTGCTGGAGCGGGTCCAGAGAAGGGCAACAAAGATGGTGAGGGGTCTGGATAGTAATGAGGAGAGGCTGAGGGAGCTGGGGTTTTTCAGTCTGGAGAAGAGGAGGCTGAGGGGAGACCTTATCAAGCTCTATAACTCCCTGAAGGGGGGGTGTAGAGAAGCGAGGGTCTGTCTCGTCTCCCACGTCACAGGAGGTAGGACAAGGGGAAATGGCCTCAGGTTGCACCAGGGGAGGTTTAGATTGGATATTAGGAAAAATTTCTTCACGGAAAGGGTTTTCCAGCATCGGAATGGGCTGCCCAGGGAAGTGGCTGAGGCACCATCCCTGGAGGTGTTCAAAATACAGGTTGACATGGTCCTCAGGAATATGGTTTAGTGATATTTTTTTTATTGCTTATTTCTTATTTATTTTTTTGTCAGAGTTAGGTTGATGTTTGGACTAGATGATCTTTAAGGTCCCTTCCAACCTAGACGATTCTATGATTCTAGCTCCCGTGTCCCAAACACTGACATTTTTAAGGATTAGCTGTGGACTGCCAAGGTCTCCATCCTCTCCCCTGCCCCATGGCACCAAGACCAGAGGCATTGTGGCAAGAAGACTCCCAGCAGAGCCCAACTCCAAACTGCATCCCGCAGCCCCACACGCTGGTGGAGGAGAAGCCCGTCTGTCAGCAGCCAAGTTATCTCAGCTTTGTGTTTTGTTCTGCATGGGCTTGTGTCCTTGAAACAATTCCTTCCCACATCCCCTGAAAAACTCCCAAGCTAAAATTACACACACCACGGAAAGCAAGAAACTCTCCCTGCTTTCAGGCTGCCCCAAACGAGCTGCTCGCAGCTCCGAATTCGGCTGCAGCCGCCGCACAGCTCTCCACTTCTGTCATGCATGTCCTTTTCCTTCTTGTTTAGGTTTCAGCCTCTTAAAACTCACATGTATGTGTATGTGGGTTGGTGTAATGGAGAGGAAACACAGCCAGAAGGGTTTGGGACCTCCAGGTACTCAAATAGACAATAAACTAGTGGCGATGGGCTAAATTTGGGATTGCATAAAGGGGGAGGAATTTGACATTTCTTTGATGGGAATGGCATCTTTCTGTACTGCATGATGCATGTGGGATTTTAACTGTCAAAAGCACCACCGCAAGCAAATTTGCCATTTCCATTTTACTTTTGCCCCATTTTAGGGAGAAAAAAAAGGTGCTGCCCTTTAGGGGAGCTGCTGCTGACATCAGCCTGTCAAAACAAGATACAAATGTCTAAAAAACCCTAGCTCTCATTTTTCCGTTCAGAAACTGATGGTCTGAGCACTCATGGGTGGTACCTGCACCTGTGGAAACCTTCATCACTCCCAGTGGAGCTCCATGCCTGGTCCTAGTGACACGGTACTGAAAGTGTTGGGCTTTACTCTGCAAAGCTTGGGATTATTAATAACTTTATGAGCATCACTTTAAATTATTATATTGGTTATTATGCTATTTTCAAGCTCATTGCAGAATAAGCTCTCCCTTGGAAGAGATGTTTTACGCACTTCAGACAAAAGGAGGGACCGTGCCCCAGAGAGCTAGTACAGTGATAAACAAACAATGGAAAATATGAGGTGTGTATTAGACCTAAACTTGGACTAAAATGACAGTTGTCTTGTAATCAGTTCAAGGTAAGAGAGTTTTACAGTGTAAATTCAGCTTTAGATTATCATGCTTTTTGGACCTGATGGCATAAACCACACCAATATTTTACTAGCAATGGAGAAGAGCAAATCTGAAGGCTTATCGGGATGTTTGGATTACTTCAAACCCCTCTCTGAAAGGGGCAATATTTGGAATAATCTGCCTTTTCTTGAAAAGTGCAGCTCACATAGTAAGGATTTTTGACAACTTCTATAATCTGAATTTGCAGGGAAGACATAATTCAGATATGTAGGCATAAGTTAGTTAAGTAGATGTGAAATGTGGAGGAAAAAGAAAACCCAAGAGCACAAACCTGAAATTCAGAAAAGAAATTGAACCTACCACAAGTACAATTTAAAGATTCTTGGAAATGTCTGTCTGTCTCTTCCAACTAACATAAGATAACATCTAGAGAAAAGGGATGTTGCTGCTTCTCAGCATTGCCCATGATTTAGAAGTTCCTATTTTATTACTCTTATTCTTGCTATTGTAAAATCGTTGAAACTACTCTGCTATATTAGTAAGAAAGTACCGGTTTATTAAAGGTCTTGAGACTTTCTTCAGTACATTATCCAGAACAAAGCTGCTGTCAGGGTAAGGTCTGACACAGATGTCTATGCCAGCACTGGAATAAAACAGGAGGGCTCCACAATTCACTGGTGGCAAGATATTTGTATAGAATAGCCAACATAATACGAATAATTATTTCCAGACTGGTATTGAATAAATGGGCTTTTAGCAAATCAGCAGTCCCACAGCCTTTAACACTTACTGATCTGCGTGGCAAGCCAAGAAAGTAATTAAAAAAGAAAAAAGAAAAAAAAAAAGAGCTGGAAGTGAGTTTTGGGAGTGGCCGGACGTGTCTCTAATAGCAGGCTCCAAAGTCCCTTTCAGACACTTTCCCAAGGTTTCCTGACTTCTTTTCTTTTTTTTTTTTTTTTTAACACCAGCCTCTCTGTGTGTCTCTCTAATCAAGAGGAAATGGGCTTTGCATAGCTTTTGTCATGGCTTGAAAGTGCAAGCTGCAGTTTTACTTGAAATCCAAGGCTGCCCTAAACTAAACATTTTGTTCAATTGAAGTGTCACCCTTGTGTGTCCCCCCAAAAACGGGTACACTCACAGCCAAATAACATCAAGGCTTTACTTCTACAAACAAGAGAACCTAGCCTGGGTACATATTGCATGTGCATTATTGATCTCTTTAAATTTTTCTGCCGCTTCTGGATTATCGGGGTTTTTATCAGGATGATATTTCAATGCAAGTTTCCTGCAGAAAGAAAAAAGAGATCGTTATAGATTAAAAACAGGGATTTGGGTTCCTGGGGTCTTTTTTTTTTTTTTTTTTTTTTTTTAACACCAGCCTCTCTGTGTGTCTCTCTAATCAAGAGGAAATGGGCTTTGCATAGCTTTTGTCATGGCTTGAAAGTGCAAGCTGCAGTTTTACTTGAAATCCAAGGCTGCCCTAAACTAAACATTTTGTTCAATTGAAGTGTCACCCTTGTGTGTCCCCCCAAAAACGGGTACACTCACAGCCAAATAACATCAAGGCTTTACTTCTACAAACAAGAGAACCTAGCCTGGGTAAATGCAGTTCATAGAAAGTATTGTCTTCCTAACAATACTCAGCGCTTACTTAGTCTATGTGTTTTCAAAGTATCAAGTTAAATCCGGTTAATCCTTTAAACGTCCCTGCTAGTTTGACAAAAATGTTTTTAACTCCACTCTAAAGACAGGGAAACAGAGATGGAGGCCAAAGATGTTGAGTTCGTCTACCTAAACTGAATGTCCAGACCTGTCTGGAGGCTCTAAGAGACAGATATTAATGATTTTTTTTTCCCCGTGGACATGCTTGGAATGCTTGTCACCAGCATTCTGGCTTGAAAGCTTTAACCTAAGCAACTTACTCAGTGCAAATCATGTGAATCAGAGGGTGAACCGGGGTAGGAATACAGGAGGCAGTAGCTTCAGTTCAAATGGTGCCATTTCTCTAGCAGTGGTGGGATTATTCAGGAGGAGTGCTGGAGGCAGTTTGGATAATACTGTATTATATAGGACATTTCCATTTGGAGACTGGAATTCTGTGCAGGAGGTATGCATTTGGATAGAGGGCATGGGGAAATTAGCTCAGCCTGGCTGGACCAAAGCAGAATAATATTTTTAAAGAACCATCTCCATCAGCCTGGAACAGGGTGCCATCAGCTCAGTCCCTTCTGCTCATCAGAACTAAAACAGCAGTGTCAGGGTCCATAAACCTTCAAGTTGGTTATTTGGGTCAACACAGTGCTGGGTCACACTCCTTTCTCCCTGTCTCTAGTGATGTTGTTCATGCCAGATTGCACAGATTTCTCTGTCCACAGCCCTCCCAAATACAAAACACATTTTTCAGTCTCATCCACAGTAACACTGACACCCAAAGCAATAACTGAAACAATATGTTTGTCTGCCCCAATATATTGAGTGCAGTGTGGTCTCCTGGACAAGAAGCCACAGGGAATTTAGGGATTTTCAGCTCTAAACCACTGCTGAAATCAATGCACTGACCAATATGTCCTGCGCGCTTTAGCTCGTGCACTTTTTGCCAATGAGGATTCCAGATTTGCTCTCAAATTACTAAACTGTGCCTTGCCCGCACAAAAAAAAAAAAGAGACTGCAAACGGATGCTGAGGTACTGAATGCCCACTGTTAGCTGTGTCTGTGGATGGGGCTGGCACCCCTGTTCCCCTCCTCTGCCAGGGCTGTTTGTGGTTGGAGAGAGCAGAGATCAAGAAGCAGCTGTGTGTCTCAGCTCTGCCTGTTGGTCAGTAGATAAGCTGACCAGGGTCAAGGACAGGGTTCCTTGTAAGGCAAGTTAAAGCATTCAGATTTCACTTGCTTTGAACTGTAAAACCATGTATGTAATTTTAGGACTCAATTATGCTAAATAAGTTCATAAAACATACTGTGATTCTTAGAGAGGAATTGGAGCTAGACCCTCATGTCATGCACCAAACCAACGGCAGAGCCTAAGTCACCGAGAGCAGTGAGCTCCGGGCTCCTGTGGCTCCTGCCACATCCATGAGCTTTCCATTGCTCCTCACGTTTCCTGAGCATTTCCCTCGAGCTTAGAGATTTTCCCAACGCATTGTGCACACCAGGGCTGTGCTGCTGTACAGGGGAGGCAGAGCTTTTCCACAGCTGTGCTTCTAGCAAAGGGCACTATCAGCATGAACAAAGCATCCCATCGAAATAAAGAACAAAGCTTAGTCCTGTAGCTGGTTTTTTTTTTTGAGTTCACGGAACATCCACCTGTAATAGCTATCAGGCTCCACAGAGTGGAGCAGGCTTAATAAAAATCAATCAATAATTCTTCTGCCTTACCTCTTCTGTAGTGCTCGAGTACTGAAGAGTAGTTGGAATCCAGGCTTTCTCTGTTACCGCAGATTTCAAGTCAAGGTAGAGGTTTTCAATGAGATTTTTACTCAAGTGTCCAGTCACGTTTCTGATGAACATCTCTGTGCTGCTCTTCAGCAGATTTTCAGGCCCAGGTGTAACAGCGTTTAAAGGGGGAGATGTAGTTATAGTACTCCATATAGAAGTGTCTGCATCTTGAAGATCTAAGATAAATTAAAGAAAGTAATTAAAAGCAGCTCTACAATTTTATAAACAATTCTTTATATGCCAATGAATGTGGCTGATATGAGTCCTAAGTAGGTTAAGTGCACCTGTCAGTTCTATAGTTTTTTGTTTTCAGTGCAAACTTGCATTTTGCCAAAGTTTGTGCAAAACAAAAGCAGAAAAAAATATTTTCCTTGAACATTCAAAACATTCTTTTTAAATACAGTCCATCAATGATTCTGAAGTGAAGAGAAAGGCAGTACTTTGTCATTAACAGCACAATGTTTTCCCTCATAGCTTTTCCACTTGCTGGGTCTATCAAAGAGCACACAGTTTAAGCTTTATATAGGCAACCCCACCCCCCTTTATAAGTAGATAGGCCAGACCCTCATCTGCCTTTTGTAGGTGTAAGTTCAAAATATGGCTTTGTTCAAGGCAATTTTTCAAGGTAATTTGTTAAAGATATTTTTTTTTTGTTCAAGATAATATTTGTTCAAGATAAGTTCCTCGTGCCCGCATGGGATGTTCCTCTTGCATTTTTAAACCAGTCCCATGCAGAGATCATGCTAACCCCTGACTGCTCCCTTTCCGAGGTTCAGCTAACAATCGTATCACTTAACTGAAGTGTCTGCAAATATAATGGTGGATTTGCTTTTTCAGTCACGTATCCTTCAGAGAACGCCAAAGTTGCAATTAGAGCGCAGGAAAGATTTTACTACACATTTTTCCTCCACATTTTCATGGCTCTTCCTCCCCATTGGTATGTATTTAATATCCTTTCTTTGTGGCTGCGAGGGCAGGGTTCAAGCTGTTGTGGCCTCTACATCTGGTAGCATCACATTTCAGCAAAGCGATTGGAATTACTCACTGGCCCCTTCTCCTCACAAAAAGCTGTCCTACCATTGCTGGAGCACAGCTAGTGTGCATTGGCTCAGCGCCCAAGACACTTTGTCTGTCCTTGAACTGAGGTCTCCAGCATGACAGAACCTTGTTTTGCTGCTGAGCCACTGGGCTGGTTGCCATTTACAACAATTTTAGCTCACAAACCCTCCAAAAAAAAAATTTTTAATGACTGGGTTAAATTGCAGCAGAAGCTTCCACATGTAATTACTTAGTGCGCAATTATGATGTCTTAGCAGGCCAATGTCTGATTACTTCTTACCCAAAGGATCAGTGGGTGAGCTTCCACGAAGACAACATGATGGGGGTTTTGAGTATGTGTAAATATATATGTTAACAGGTTTATATAAAGAAACTTGCAGTGCTCTGATTTGCATCCAGAAATAAAAGTGACATTGTAAACCCTTGTAAGTGACACTTTCATGCAAGTCTTTCCTGTGCTCAACAGCACAGTGCATTCACCTGGTACACAGTTTGGGATCCTCTTGGAAAGGATTGGTTTGCTGGAATGGGTTGATACCCAGATTAAACATTTTCCCTGCTGTTATTTAACTGTGCTTCTCTGGGAATAAAATTCTCCAAGTCTCCCATTTAATTACAAAAAATATTGATCAAATATTTTTTCCACATTAAGGCATTGAAAACAGTACTACAGACCTAGTTCTGCTCTATCTGTGAAAAGGGTTTCATCGAGCCCTCAGGTCTGGTCCAACACTGCATGATCCCTCTCATGCTGCTGCGTTTGCAGAATCCCCTGCAGAGCGCCTATGGTGCCGTCTGCTGTGCTCCTACCTCACCTACCCTCATGGCCCCCACCAAATGGACATGGAAGAGTCTGGCAGGGACAGCCCTGTGCTCAAGCTGTCGTCAAGCTTCTGAAATAAACCCATGAGCTGACACAAGTCCAGCCTTAGCCTAAATTCCATGTCAGTCATTGTTCCTGCAGATTTCCTGGTAGTCGGGGGTCTCTGAAAGGCTGCGGTAGGCAACTAAAAATGCTAGCCCCAAGGACTTGGAAAGAATTAAACCTGCTGGCTCTGTGCCTCTCAGATATCTCCAAGTTCAGCAGGGAGCAGAACTTACTGATAGAAAGATGGCTAAAAAAAAAGTACATCTGAGTGGTCAGCAGCTGCTTGGAAAAAAAGGCCAATCAGTTGGGTTCCTAAATATAGATTTACACACCCAACTTAAAAACACATTAAAAAAAAATCTTGGCTTTATTTACAGACAAATAGCAGCGATTCCAACAGGAAGATGTTTGCGTTCCAGTGCAATTGTGCTTCAAGAAAGCTGCTGCTCCATAAAAGGGAAGCTGGTGCTGCCAGCGACATTTACGGGACTCGGCAGCCAGGGGATAAGCAACGGTCCTGGTGCAGGAGCCGAGGGGAGAGCTTGTCCCTCCTGGAAGTGAAACACTTGGTGCTCAGAAACGTTCCAGCAGCCTGAGGAGGTACCATGAACAAGCATCTGAACAACCCGACTCCTCTTGTTAAGCTCAGGGGTATCCTGGGTTTTCAGTTAAAGGGTCTTTCCCAGCAAAGACTGACAACAGTCTCTTACCCGTAACCTATGGATGGAAGTGGCACGTGCTAAGCACTGTGCCATACCAGAACTTCAGATATATATACCAGCGTTTTCTATGTATGCTACGTTGGACTGACTTATAGGGTTCATATCTGCCCTCACTTCAAGAAAATTGGGATCCAGGTTTATATTCTCTTTTCAAGGAAAGCCACTATGGTCATAGAATAAAGACCCTCATAGGCCTTCTTCAATGGCCCTTCTTCACCTTATAAAAAACTGCACGTTATAAGACCCAAGCAAACAGATTTATACACAACAAATTTTTAAACCAGAAAAAACTTACCTCCCATCTGGACACCAGTAAATTAGACAGAAATCTCAACAGTGGGATTTTCCAGAAGTGTTTAGCATTGTTCTAGCAGTCTCTTTGGAAATCAGTCATTAAACCGTCCATGGGAACAGAACTGCAGCACTGACACTGACATTGATCACTAGTGGCTGAATGATATACAGTGTGTGAACATACCATTGTAATCATCAGTAGCACATCCAGGAGAAATTATGACATTCTGACTGAGAGCATATTTCATCCATGGGGTGCCCTGCAGACTGCATCCATCTGCACAGCAGCAGGCTGCTTACGAGGAAAGGGAATCCATACATTTTGCGTGTACGATGAGTAAGAGAGCTGCTTGGTTGTCAAGTACTGAGAACTCTACAGTGATGCCTTCAGACTCAGACGAGCCGGCGTGGTGCAGCTTTCTGAAATAGCTTCTGCCATGTCAGTCTGCCTACCCCATTAAAGCACGGTTTCAGAAAACTAAAGCTGAATTGCTAGTGAAACAGAAATGAATCAGATATCTATTGTATAAGAAAAAATACTCTGTATGACTGCATCCAACTTGCTGACAGTGAGACTTGAAACCAGAAGGGGTTGTTTTAAGATCTGCTGGACCAAATGAATTATCTTTTTAGCTAACTACTTGTAAATAGACTGCAAAAATAAAGACTCTATTTTAAAAGCATACTTCAGATTTCTTTTGTACGTAGGAGTGTGACAGAAGGACAAAATCCACTAAATGTCTTTTCTTTCCCATTTAATGTAGTCCTTTTAAAAACTGCAAAATCTACGCCACTTGAAAAATTTTTACCTTCTTCATCTGAAGCATTGTAGAATGTACCTCGTGTCAGAGAGGTCAAATGTCTACAAACTCTGGTCTATTCCTAAGCTGCTCTTTTTCTTCCTTGTTTTTGAAATGCTGAAGTAGCCACTTAAAGGCTCTTTCAGCACCTTTATCAGAACATCCCAGACAAGTATAGTGATAATACCATAGCTCTATCATCAGCCTTACTTCTGACTCTCTGGATAGCCCCAGCTCACCCTGAAGTGGATTTTTGGCCACCTAAAGATCTGGACTCCTCTACTGAGGAAAGGTCAGAATAGGAGCTTCTACATAGACTCCTAGGACCTGGTTCAGTTGCCTAAGCATTGTTACCTAGAGCAATCTGAAGTGGCCTAGGGCATCTGGGGCATCTGCTGAGGGCTCTCATAGCACCTATGGGACAGCTATGTCTTTCTGTGTAGGCAGTCAGAGGTCAGGTGTGATAACCTGGAGCATCTCAAATGGCAAACAGCACCCATGATGAGACAAGTGAAATAAGCCCTTCCTTCAGTTGCCCAGATTTAGACATGTAGAAGCTGAAACCCACTCCAGCTTCTATACAGAGATCCATACAAAGTAAGGGAAGAGAATGTAATCATCAAAAATTACCAGTATGTTTGTCTGGAACTGGCATCTCTGTTAGCACTCACAGCAGTAGATGAAATAGTAAAGCAGGACTTGCCATCCTCCTGGTCACTCTGGGAAGCTGTTTATATCATTCCATTTTTTCCCTATGAAAATAGCTGAGCTGATTTTGTTCTATACTCTCTGAGCTGTGGATCACTGAGACACAGTTTTCATAAATTTGAAAATTTATGAAAAACAAAGACCTAGCTACACTGCAGATTTTTCCATTTCTTTTAACAAAATGTAAAAACATATTTATCTCTGTGTTTCTGTCAGTACGCTACTGGATTGTGTACAAGGTCTTGTAATTATGTCCAAGGATCTGCCATTGATGCCTGTCTTTTTCCAGGTGGAAAAGCAAAAGTTGTCAGCCATTTATTGCTTTGACCAAAGAAAGAAGATTCAAGTCCATTTTGGTATTTCATGGGTTCACACAGGTGTTGGCAAAATCTTGTACTTACAAAATCCTATAAATTAATAATTCAAGGAGATAAAAATGGGTTTGAGTGAATGTTTTCTAGGAAAAAAACTGGGGTCAACTCAAAGGTGGAATGAAAATATTGGTTCTCACTGTTCTAATTTATCCTGGAGAAATTCGTAAAGGTTACATGCACAAAAATCCAACCTGTTGTGAACCTGTGGATGGATTGTTGCGGTCATTACAAACACTAAAGGTGTAGAATAATTAAAGAGATATTAATGTGATCTCAAAAATGGGTAAGGTTTGCTGCCATTTCTGTGCTTCTGCCACCTTTCTTGGTGCTCTTCCACTTTCCCAAGAGTGCCAAGAAGATGCATGTGTCTTCCCTTACCATGTTCTGCAGTTGCTACTGCTGCTCCGGTGGTTTGGAGCATGCTTGGAGCATGCACTGCTCCAGTCTCTTCTACCCTCCATCTCACCCACTGAAGTGCCAGCAGTGGGGATGTGAACTCTAAGCTCAGGTTCTGATATGAAGCAGGCAAACTGGAAATGGGATAAGGGGAAGAGAGAAGCGCACATGAAAGAGAACACAGAGGGCCAGAAACTGGGGTAGCAAAGGCAGAAGGACTGTGGAGGTAACAGTTTAAACATCAGACAGCACATCCAGCTTTGGGCCATGCAGTGTCTGATATTTTGTCTATTTTAGACTGCAAACAAAACAAGAGATAAAAAGATGCTATTTGAATTCCTTGTCCGACTTGTTTTATATCTTTGTAGATTCCACTATGGTTCTTAAGTACTTGGTGCATAACAGTAAGTAATAAAACCTTTCTCCTCCACAAAATCAGCTACTCTTGAATGGGGCTTTGTCTCAATATATACAGTTCTAGGGTTTTGCAGCTACAATTCGTTCAGGAGATGTCCCACTATGTATGATATGGTAGAAGAGAAATGCAATGCAGAGCCCCATATTACAAAGCAGTTCATGTCACCTTCTGCATCCAGATTGCTCTACAGGCTGTGTCACAGTCTCTAGATCTCAGTGAATAACTGAAGGATGCAGCTTGGACTTGTGTCTCCCTATTTGAGGTCATTCTCCACTTAGTAAATAATTGTTGGTCTGCAATGGTTTTGAGGTTTGTTGGTAATATTCGAGGTGCCACATAGCATTGCCTCTGTTCTCTAATTGGATATATTATTGAAACTAACCTACTCAGACCAAAAGAAGCTTTTAAGAATTGCTTATACAACTCAGAATTGACATCAGTGTTAGTGCATTAGCATTAGTGGTGCTCTGGGTACTTTCCAAACAAAAGAGGGGATGAGGTTTGTTTCACACTTGTTACTTGGATGCAACAATTTTTTGCTCTTGTCAGTCATCCAGCCTTCTGTCCCTTTACTTCCCCCTTGTTTTCCTCCTCCCTGTTTCCATTCCTGTCCCATCTCCTGTGTCTTGTGCTTAGAGAAGCTCTGACCCCAGCAGATGGTTAGTGAAAAGGTCTTACCACTACTGAGGCTATTCCACTCTCTGCCCAGAAGCTCCTCGTGAATTTGATGAGAACTGAAGTCTCACCATCTCAAGGGAGACTGATACCTTGTGTCCCTTCTTCATGTTAGCTCTATCAGCCAGAGGCCAGATTCAGCCACAGCTTTGTGTGAGAAGGACTGCCTGCTGTTAGATTTAAAGTGATCTCTGATGGAACAGAGGCAGAGTACATATTTAAACTGATCCTGATTTCCACAAAGAGTCATTGAGGTCAGGACTGTAGCAAAAAATATATATCCAAACACATCTGAGATGGCTGATCTGAAATCCAAATCCAAGCCCAGACTTTATACAGGCTCAGAAAAATCATACTTGGCATTTGAGTCAGGTCCAGAATAAAAGGTAGTTGCAGCTGTTGGGTTTGGACTTGTACTATATCTGGGCTGATAAGATGTTTGGGATGCAATTCAGTGAGTTACTCCTTTGCCAAAATATAACTATTTTTGTGAGTACTATGAAAACAAAGGGTAAATTATATCAAAATACGTTATTAGTAAGGAGAAGAAAAGCAGCCATTTCAGCCCAAAAGACTTTGCTCGGTTTTTACTATCTTAGCTAAATATAGATTGAATACATTATTTTAGGCTGATCCATTGCTGCTTTCACTGAAAGTGGACAGATGTTCTTGGAAAACTGATTTTATGCATTCAACATTGAAAATTTTGACATGCATATGTATGTCAAGACCAGCACTGTGGGCATTAGAATTTGTTCCTGTAGTACTTATTATTATTATTTGAAAATGGATCTTTTTGCACTACTTTAACCCTTTATGAGTTTCTTATATAGCTGGAATTCTTAGTTAGGTATTGAGGATCATAATGTCCTCTTGATTTCTTAGCAGAGCTTCCCAGAGCTGTCAAAAAGGTGATAACTGACACAGTGAGATTCTTAAAGTGGATCTACAGGCCTGCCTATGGAAAGAATTTCAGGAAAATTAAGGTAAATTCATTAAAGGACTGAGCACAGTAAATAGATGAGAAGGTGCTTTAATACCCCATGACAACTGTCTTACTCAGTATTCATTGGTCTTAAATTGCCTCTCCTCTGAGGAAGATTAAGAAAAGGATGTAAGGTTACTTTAGCTCTGTTAGGGCACACATCATCCAGCTATTTAAAGAAAATAACACTGCCTGCGTACCTCATCTTAACTTTTCATGGTGTCTTTGAATAAGCAAGCCATACTCACCCTATACACAGGACTTCAAATAATTTTGCCTTTTTAATCTCTGAAATATATATGATGGAATGGCATCTTGGCCAGTTTTCCATTTCAGGATTCTGCAAGCTGCCCTTTCAGACCTCCACTCAGGTGAGTAGTCCTGCTGCTGTGAGCAGGGTTCTGCAAGTGCAAATTTGCTGAAAAAAAATGGTACCCTGCCTTACAATGAATGGGAGGTTAGAAAGGTTAGAAAGAACAAGGATTTGTTTTAAACACTCTGAAAACTTGGCCACATACAAAAGCATTGGGTCATAAACTGTGGGGTTTTTAAATTCTGTAAAGACAAGAATTAATTGTGTGTTCCACATTAAAAAAAAACGTAAATCTGCAGGTTTTTCTTATTTACCATGAAGAACTGCTTAATAGTGTGCAAGAAGAACGTCAACAGTACTGTCAGGGAGGACTGACAACAGGATAGCAAGGAAAGTATTATTAAGCAGTACTCAAACTGTTCTACCTTCCTTTTGTTATGGGTATGGAAACGTATAACCACACAGGTGTATCAACACATCTATAAGTATGTACACAGACCCGTGCATCTCAAAGTGCTATTCAAGAATTTCTGAGATTTTTGATTCAGTTAATTATTTTCAGGATTTTAAGTGTTCTTATAATATGTTGCATCTAAGGGCAAAGTGACACTGCAAGCATGTGAATGTGTAAACCATATGTCTGCTCTAATGATGGATTTAGGTTAATCAGAGAAATAATTGTGCATGTGTTGGGTTTTCAGATGTCTTCTTGCTCTTGACAGATTGAATCAGGATTTGTATGATAAAATAAATAGGGGGGAGAAGGACTTTTATACACCCATATTTTTTAAAAGTACTAGGAGTTAGTACCCATAATTCTGTTTAAAAGTGAAAAAGGAAATGAGACAAGATTGGCAGTAGAGCAAAGGAGAGACATCCTGAAAATATAAAATGGCTTAAACCCCCTACCAGTTGTGAGAAAGACAGCACTCATCTCAACTGTTCTTTTTACATTTCTCTGAGCTATTTTCAGTTGTTTTTTTGTATGAATAAATCATGATAATTTTTAACATTTGAGTTAGCATAAAAGATATGTTTTTGCTACCAAAATTTCCAGGGTATTTCCCCCAAGGAGTAGCTCACCTTGCTTTGAGCACAGATTTACATACACAGGTTTTCCCGTCTCGCTGGCTTCTAGCTGCATCCATGTATGAAGGTATTTCTTACTCTGCTTGGCCATTACCTTCTGGCCTTGCTTTGTAAGAAAGAGAGAGCTGTTGGCCACCTTCAGGAGCCCATCCTCCTCCTGGCAAGTCCACCTGACTGCCTGGGGACAATCAACAACGATGCTGCGAGATGACAGGGCAGAGCGTGTAGAGATGCTCAGGCACTGGGCGGATTTCACATGGAGGAGCCTGTCATCTGTTGTCCACTGCCACTGCTGGTTGAGGTTGGTCATATTGCACTTTTCCATAATGACTCCTCTCTTTTCTGAAAGACACTGCTGTTTCTGGACATGGATAATCAGAAACCCTTCTGGAAGAGGAAAATTCCAGAAAAAATACAATAGATTACACATGGTTATTTAACAAAAAGCAAATTCTTGATTATTTAAAATACATCAGCAAATAAACCTTGCTTCCCATTTTCTATGTGTTGAACTTCTCATGAACTTTCCATCTGTTGAACCTATTTTAAAAAAAACCCAAACGTACAACTCACATGACGCAAGTGCTGGTAATGTAAAGAGTGAGAATGCAAAAAGCAACCTATTGTGGCAAAGGTCACCTTGACCTTCATTACATATAAGAACGAAAAAAAATATTAAACTGGGTATAAAAGAAATTCAAGAACTTTTAACTTTAAATACCAATTCTAAATACCCCACTTCCCCTGCCTGAAAGCATACAGAGATCTACACAAGCCCTCAGTCTTTTTTTTCTGTTTTATGACACAGTAGTTTTACAATATAATTTACTGCCTGGAAATTGTTTTAGTAAAACTCATAGTGTTTCTGAAGAAAACATATATAAGAGTACATTCCCAAATCTGTATGCCTCTTAGTGCCTGTGTCGTTACAGGAATGGAGGCTCTTTACAAATAGGAAGTACATCTATTTTACTGGATTTACTCCAACGCCTCTAGCTGATAGTTTTGTGACCATCCTAATTCATGTTAGACGAGCTCTTTGTGCCACCACACTTAAAGATCAACACCAAACACTCTAATAAAAAGAACTACAATCCGTTAATCAAAATACCCCGAAGTTACCAAAACAAAAGCCATACTCGTTACAGAACACGGAACTGGATATTTCAAATGCAGCCTCCCTGCCACATCTTGTTTAGGTTTTTCACTTTTTATAATATCAGTTACTCAAACATTTCCAGCCTCATTAGTTACAAAGTGCTAAATGCAACATGTATATTTATTTTCCTTGATTGAGGTTTATCATCCCCCTGTTTTTACAGACCTGAGTATTTTCTAACTAAGCATCACAGAAAGCTCCTGGCTCTGGGAGTTTCACAAAGTAGGAATGAAAAATAGGAATCTCCCCTTCAAAGAGCTTGCCCCAAAGCTCAGCTCCTGGATTGTCTGGCAGGAGACCTTCTTAAAAAAAAGAAGAGGTATCTCCAGCATAAGAAGAAGACAGTTTATTTTCCTTTGGAAAGAAATCTAAACAGAACGGAATACATTGGCCCTGCCCCCCATCCCTCTTATATGAACCCAAGTGAAGGAGTGACTTGGTTTTTGGAAGTTGCCAGCTGCCCTGGAGGGCTCTGCTCGGCGTCAGAAAGAGCAATACAGCAGAGGGGAAGGGGGGAGAGACACTTACCTGAAAATGTCAAGGCAAGACAGGTAGAAACCAGGACGTGAAATAAAGAATCCATTTTCCCTCTAGCAACTCCCCATGCTTCTCTTAAAAAAACCCACCTCAGATAAGTGAAGCGAAGGCTAGGAAGGAAATGTGCCTTCACAGGGGGAAAAAGTCGGTGACGAGCACTTCCTTCTATTCAATTGTTTTGGGGAGTTTTACACCACTTTGTCCTTTTATATGATTCTTCAGAGTTTACAAGTTGCTTTATTTTGGAAAAATACAAGCAAAAGAGAGAGAGGTTTTTAAACACCTGGGGAACTAAAAGAAATGACGTTGAATCTCTTTAGACTAGTCTAACAAAAAGGTTTTATACTTCAGTGTAACTCGTTGCCTGTGAAATCTTACAAGTCTGCAGGTGATCTGAATTGTGCTGAATAAGCATATACTGTATTATCCAGGGAACAGACACATATTTTTTTTATGTAACTACACATAATCAAGAAAAATCTCAATATTGATACTTGTAACTCCACAAGTTCTAAAAGCCAAGTGGAGAAGGAGAGGCAAGGGGAAGAGGAGGAGGAAACATCTCTGAAGTCTGCAGCGGGTCTTACACAAACTCGCCCCAAGGGATCAAACAATGCTGGTTTTGCCTTCCCATCAGGTGATCCACCTTGCTCCACATCAGTGGGAGATTGCCCATGCCCTCTGGATTGGCTCTCCATTGGTCTGAAACCATGATGTCAGCTAACCAAATTGTACTCAGCTGTGCCTGTTTATGGGGGTACAAGAGTGTGGGGTGCATTAACTGCTCTAAGCAAGAATAGAGACTTCAGTAAATATTTTATATCAACTGTAATTTATTAGCAGTATGAAGCAAAGTTAACATCACTGCATTAAAAACTCATTATACCCTGTAAACAGACCTCCCAGTGCTGTAAGTCATAATGCCAACTTTGCATTTCTCTTAAAAACAAACTCTTACTGAATGTTAAAGGAAACAGTCATAGCAGCATTTTCTTTCTTGTATAACCTGTTGTGGAACAGTTCATATCACTAAAGGCATCTATCTCTTACTGAAATAGAAAGAGCAGATAAACAACATGAGCAAAAAATCCCGTATTAATAAAAGACAGACAAATATTTAAAATCCTTACCATTTAATATATGCTACAAAGTTTCTTTTAAAAGTGAAATGACTTACACAATTTACAAATACACTGGATCTGTGTCTGTAGCAGAAGCATGTTCTAAGACAATCAACAGTATAGGGTAAATACATACACACTGAATAACAGACGTTGTGCTCTGCAACTGCTCTGTAAGACCTACAGTAAATACATGTTTAATAGTTAATAGTAGGAAGAACATATATTTCCATATAAAATATTAACTGCTTTTGAATATTTTCAAAAACAAGACTTTTGATTTTTTTATTATCTCATCTTCTTTTTTAAATCCATAATTGAACACTTGCAATTTTAGCAGCAAGAATATTATGTGGCCAAGAAACAAGCTCACCACATAATAAGTAATAGCACTTTACAGTACAGTTGACAGTCCATTCACAAGACAGTTTGCAAACGTTAAAGCATTTATACACTTGATAAACATTTCTTCTGTGGAAGTTCCAATGTCCATCCAACTGCAGCAGTAGCACATACATACATTCCATATGGCAGATATCAGTATCACAGAATTAAACCCACCTTTAGATATATACGTGAAATCCGTGTGTAGTTTCAGTACGGTACCTTCTTTATAAATCATTTTTGGGAAGCTCACAATACATTCATATACAGTAAGGGTCCAGCAATCTCTACACATTTGCCAAACCGTCCACAATCCTTTCAGAAGTTGGCCTCAAAGCCGCTCTTCCCACTGCAGTAAACTCCTTGAAGAAGCTGCTGGTAGGTAATGAAACGAATTACCTCAAGAGACTGACATTCGGTTTTACCCTCCTTGGATTCACTCGACAGCTTCTGCAGAAAGTCTGCTTTCATACAGACTCAGTGCATGGTGCACAAATTCATACTGTTCGCTGGTCTGAACCATTCCACCCCTGAAAAGGAAACACATCGGAATGAAATGTTATTTCTTAAGAAAGCAGCAATCTCCAGCCCCTGCCACCTCCATTACCACCAGATAATACAAGCCCTTTTCTCAATTTTTGACTTAGAGTTTGCTTGACTAAGTGAAAAATTTGCCTGATCAGAAGTACTTTCTTCATAACTTACACCATTCAGCACATGCCCACCATGAACCACCATTTCTGATTCCATCAGGGTGAGAACTAGAGAAGAAAACATCTGGCATCTACATTGTTTAAATCTACATTTCGAATTCAACACATTCATAGAGAATTTTGCTCAGTCACTTGGGCAAGGAAGGCCAGACGCATGGACGGAGGATTACCATTGATGGAGCAAGGGAGTATTCAGAATCTGGCCTTTCATTTTTGTCCTTTACTAAAAATGCAACCTTTGGTGACCCTCACATGGCCTGTGCAGCAAACAGCTCTTCCTGTCCTCTTTCTAACGCCTACAATGCATCCTGTCTGAACAGCAGCCACCTAAGAAATTTTACAGCAGTGACTCATTTCAGCACCAACAATACAAAAGAGTTTAGCTTGACCATAAAAAGGACTAGTTACAGACAGCTTGGATTAGATCCCTGCATTTATTATATTCACCTGATAACAATCCCTTTTTCAGGTCTAGGTATGAGGACCAAGTCCCACATCTCCTGTGCCAACTGCAGTGTGGTAAGAAGGGGATGATGTCCTACAGGAGGCAGGTGTGATATTTAGTAAAAGTGGTATCATTCAGCTTGAAATTAAACTGAGTCTCCTTCGGGCAGTACTGAGGTCTCATTTCTCATGGAGTGAAGCCTTAAATTTACTGAATTCCACTTTTATTACCTCAACTTATTTTATTACCTCATTTATTACCTCATCTGCCATGGTATTCAAAGCTGCTTACTCTGCTTCTAGAACTGAGCCCCCAGTTCATCCTCAGCGTGCCCTGGAGCAGCTTTGGGGGGATGAAAGAGGCTGTAGTGGGAAGGAAGATATAAGATGCGCACTGTATTTGGCTTCAGCTAGATCTACGTTGAAACAATCAAATTTGTGGGGGATTTGGATCCAGAGCACTGTTGAGGCCAGGTATCTTACAGGAGAAGGTCTGACAAATCCCCATGTGATCCCTTCAAACCCCCTAGCAACAAAAGGATCTACTGATACACAAAGCTATATGAAAAATGGTAAAACTGCCCCAACAAGTATTGTCATTTAGTATTACAGAACATTATCCACAACCATAAGGTTCTTTAATTTTCGTCAGTGCTACTGGATGGTTAAATGGCTGTGGCAAGAAAAACATAATTAAAATAATACCTACTTCTTTAAGCAAGCGATCAGCTCTCTGTGCTCCTCCAGTGAGCTCAGGCAACTGTAGAACACCTTTTACTGAGCTGCATGTCTACTACAATATGCTATTCCTAGGAATTCAATCACAGGCCCTTAAATGGTCCCATCCGGTGCAAAATGCAGCAGCCTCTTAGCTTTGCCAACAAAGACATCCACAAATTCATAACTCTTGGCTGCCTGCTGCCTTCAGCTGCTCTTCTCTTTGCCTGTCCCCTGCCTGAAGATCCAGCAAGAATCTAAAGGTGACGGGAGGGTTTTGCTCTGGTCCTCTGTGCTCCTTAGCCTCCTTCCTTCCTCCTCACTGCTGCGTCCTGCCCTGCCCACGCAACCCCTTCCCAGCCAGCTTCCCTCCCTGTGTCCCCCATCAACGTTCCCCCAAGATGTGCTCTAAGGGAGTGCGTTTCCCAGGTTAGATCTGCTGTGTGGAAGGGGAGGAGGAAGAGAACTTATCCAGGGAGAAGGACTTGGCAGGAAGGGCAGGTTAAAACAAATTTGGCTGCACTAGGCTGTTTGTGGGGGTCATCCTTGCTCCTTCCTCTTCTGTGAAGAAACACAGAAAATCACCAAGAAGGCAGGTATAAGCCTGGCTGGGGCTGAGCCCGCTGCTACCGCACTTGGCCTCTGCTCGCAAGCACAACCCAGATGTGGTGGTGCTTCTGTATCCTGTATGGGTAAATGATGCTCGTCCCTGTCAGCTTAGGGGCACCTGAGTCCATAGGTGAGAGGTTTAGACAACTTGGCCTTGATAGTACTATTATACAAGGGATTCATAGAACCATAGCATCACAGAATGGTTTGGGCTGGAAGGGACTTTTAGAGATCGTTTAATCCAACCCCCCTGGCCATGGGCAGGGACATCTTTCACTACATTAGGTTGCTCAGAGCCCTGTCCAACCTGACCATGAATGTTTCCAGGGATGGCACATCTACCACCTATCTGGGCAACTTCTTCCAGCGTTTCACCACCCTCACTGTAAAAAATGTCTTCCTTATATCTAGTCTAAATCTACCCTATTTCAGTTTAAAACCATTACCCCATGTCTTATTGCTACACTCCCTGATAAAGAGTCCCTCCCCAGCTCTCCTGTAGGCCCCCTTTAGGTATTGGAAGGCTGGTATAAGGTATCCCGGGAGCCTTCTCCAGACTGAACAATCCCAACTATCTCAGCCTGTCCTCATAGGAGAGGTGCTCCAGCCCTCTGATCATCTTTGTGGCATTCCTCTGGACTCTCTCCAACAGGTTCATGTCCTTCTTAAGCTCCAGAGCTGGATGCAGCATTCCAGGTCGGATCTCACCAGAGCAGAGTAGAGGGACAGAATCACCTCCCTTGACCTCCTGGCACCATTTCTTCTTCTGCAGCCCAGGATACAATTGGCTTTCTGGGCTGTGAGCACACATTGCTGGCTCATGTCCAATTTTTCATCTACTGATAATACACAAGTCCTTCTCCCCTTTGTTCTTGGGCAAGGCTCACGTTTAATAGCAAGAAATTATCTGTGACCCAAAGACACCAGTTTGGGCAAAGGCTACATGGAAGAGCGTTTCAGGAGGAAATCTGCTCAAGGAGGGGAGGTTTCCTCTTCCACATCCCTAGTGCCTAGGAAGGATGTACCCACAGCTACGGCACCTCCTGGTGTGCAGCCTTCGTCCTCTACCAGCCCATGCTGCCAGCTGCCAGGATCTCTGCTGCTTTGGGCCTGTCTGGGGTTGTGCTTGGAAAAAAGCCTCTGGTACCCTGGGGGCCTGGGGACTGTGACCAGCTCTGCCTGGGCAGCGACAGGGAAGGGAAGGGTCCTTTATCCTGCCCTCTGGCTTGCTGCTAGTGCAGCTGGATGCAGTCTGCTCCAGAATGAATGTGATACAGGGTTTGGGATTTTTTTTTTTAACCTGAAGTGATTAGTCAAAACACTTAAACAATGAATTGACGCACACTGGAAACTCTTTTCATCCTGTCTGAGGAGCCAAGAGCAAAGTTATCGGACGTCATTCCAAGAATGTGCTTTTAAGGTTAAGAATGTGCAAAGTTTCTTGCTATCACAGTAAGTCTTGAAGATGCCTCACATCAAACATTTCCTGTTTCTGTTGCAAAACATAAAAAATGATCTGGGAAAAAAAGTAAGAGTAAGTCTTGAAGATGCCTCACATCAAACATTTCCTGTTTCTGTTGCAAAACATAAAAAATGAACTGGGAAAAAAAGTAAGCTGAGCAGACCTGTGGGCCTATCTTTCTATGAATCCATATGAGCATGTCTGTATCTCCATCTTGGGTCAAGATTTTGTATGGATGGTCACCTCTTCATGTTAGCTCAGCACATATGATTACCACCAGATCCATTCACCCCTTAACTTACGCTGAACAGCTGAGAAGAAAGTGGCATCTGCACATACCTTACAGGTCTCTCCTGTATCATTCCCTGTTGGAGCTCTATTTTAAACTCTCTTTCCAGGGGGGGTGTTAAATAAATTCCAGTTAATTAAACTATTTTTAAGCATTACTTTTTGCCACCATGTGTTGTCTGGATGCTTGCTTGGTTCTCACTGAGTGTGCTGGGCAATAGGAATATTTTGGTAAATCATTAGAGCATCACGGTGAGCCCCTCAAGTGCAGTTCTTTTCTTTTCTTACATTGCTTGATTCACTTTGGTAGAAATGTGGCCATGGACCCATCTGACAAAAAGTTCACACAGAAGTGGATACCATCAAGCGTGTTTGTTCCATCAGTAGGCCTGCATTTGGATGGTGCAAGCTCTGAGCATGAACAAGCCTGCCTGGGATCCTAGTGATGAGGTATCAGAGATGAAACAATTCACTGTACCTCATGGGCAGGTTTCTGGCTCATAGGTGGTCAGATAAAATGATGCTTTTATGATAAACTCTCTTTTCTTTCTGTTCTGTGAGGGCAATCTGATGTACAAAGAATAAATTGGAGCTCAGCTGCTGGCCAGTGTCATGAGGAAGATGGCCTTAGCTCTGTTCCTGCTCTGCTTCTGGTTGTACCCCATAGCTAATGCTGGCCACCCTGGTAACTGAAGTGCAACACAGTTGTGGGCAGAGACAGCTCTTGCAGACACACCTAGTGGGACGTTAAGTTCATTTTGCCAGCTTGATGCCACATGTAATGACTCCATCTCACACACTATCTGCCAATAACAACCACATTGGGAGACTGGGTCATCAGGGGGAGCTGGTATCATGGAGCTTTGCCCAGTTTATGGACCTACAATCTAATTGGGCTGGCAGTGGCTATTGTTGTCTTAGGGGTGCTAAGCTCTGCCCTAGCAATCCTTGCTATAAACTGACTGCCAGGTGAGTGAGATCCATTCTGCAATATGGCCAATTGGAAAAAAGAAAGAAGGTTACTGAGTTTTTCCCAGAAAAATGTCTTTGAAAATTAAAGCACAGATATACTTTTTATATCAGGCAATGCCTGAGAACATGAAGAGCTGAGGTGCCTCTCTGGAGTCTATTTATATAATCTGAAACTCAAAGAAATACAGAAATGTCCAAATCACAGGACTTAACAATCTTCATAACAAGCTTTGTTTCATTGAAATTGCTGTTATGAATGTTTATATTTGGGTCAGATTTTTATTCTCTTTCCAAGTTTATCTAGGATACTAATATATATAAGGAAGTTCATTAGTCAGATGTACTCGATGAAATTGTGTTGTCAGTTATAATGCTGAAAATATGGATTATTTTTTCTATGGCTGAAATAATGACATAAAAAGTGGTGTAGCTGAGATGAGAATTTGCTTCCACTTCTCTACTGTGAAGTGTAAAAGCTATAAGAAAAAGGTTATCTTATAATAGAAATACTAAAATGGGGGAGAGCAGTACAAACCTTTTTCAACAAGATGAACAGATAATCAGAACAGAGTGTTGGAAATTTGGAGTTGATAATTTAAAACAGATTAAGCATTTTTCCCTCAGCTCTTCCATCTTTTTTGTTGCTGAGGTTTTTAGGTAAGGAACTCCCCTTGGAGAATTTTACACTCCGAGTGGCTCATGTCGACCTGTGAGGATCATGTTACAATCTCTGTATGATGAAGGCACCTGGGAGGGGAAGGCAGAGGAGGAGATCCATAAACACAGTCAACTACATGGATTCTGGTCCTTCTGCAATTTGCTGTTCCAGTACCTTTCAGAGCTCTTCAGAGCACAAAAATCCTGTATTGTCCCTTTGACCTGAGCTTTTCTTCAGCATTTGCACCCTTATGGGTTTCTTCCATTTAAAGAAGAAATGTATGTCAGAAGCAGTTAATATACTTGTAAGGAGATTATATGATCCGGTACCTACAGCCGGAGAGGAATGAGACCTCTATTCTTGGTGCAACCCTGTTTGTTTACTTTATACAAAATCCTGTTTCCCCAAGCAGAGTAAGAAAGAAAAGTACAACCAAACCAGCAGCTTCCATTGTGCACAATACCCACATCCTCCTTTCCAACACAAATCTCTCTTCAGCCATGGTTTCACAAAACAAAGCACTCTGCAACAATGCTGGCTTACAGTGTTCCTGCTCCCAAGCTGTGAATTCAATCAGGGAATTGATCTGACTTACGAAAATTCTGCAACAAATGCCTTGCTATTTTCTTAAACCGGGCAAGTTTGCCAAACCAATTCAAAAGGACCCCCAGCACAGCTGAGGAAATAGCAACAGCACCAGATCTGGCTCTCTCTGCTGCATAAAGAAACTACACACTGAGTGAGCCTGGATGTCCCTGTCAATTCAGGCTCAAAGACAATCCCTTGCCTCCAGATTGCCCTGTGTCTCTTGTGTCCTAGTGGGATGCTGCAGACAGCAGAAAGCTCCGGGAGGGGAAAAAAGGAGTGCCAAGTGCCCAGCAACCACAGGGTTGCCATCTCAGGAGAATTTCATTCACTGGAATCTCACCCAGTTTTACCCAGAAAACAATACTCCTCACTCAGGATCTAAATACAAATGTTACTTTGAATATTCGGTTAATGCTGTCATAAGAGTCAGCAAAAGTGATGGCAGCCACTTCACGTAAAGCAACATTCAACTGTGAAAAGGTTTTCAGAATCATTACTGAATCATTATTGAATCATTTCAGGAATGATTTCAGAATCATTGACTGATTTTCAGAATCATTAACTGATTTATGGTTTTCTGGAACTCACCGATCCACTCGTAGCTGGCAGACAATGCTCAATGCATCTACAACTCCCTCTTCCTTCAACTGTTGACAACCAATAGCTGTGGCAATAAAACATCCAGTTCTTCCTATACCAGCACTGAAAAGAAGGCAAAATTTAACAGGGGAATGGAATCCACAGATCAAAGGAGTTAAGTGGAAAACACTAAATAAATAGGAAACCACTAAAAATACGAAACATGGAATTGCTAGAACCCACAATTCCTGGGTGCATGACTAGCAAAGGTAACTCCTCAGCTTACTTTCTTAGAGAGAAATGAAAGAGTGCACTGTTCCAGCAGCCCAGTTGTTGTGGGTAATTTGTGAGGCTTACATGGTTCCATTTGCACACAAGTGTACGGTAAGAAAAACAATCTCCATTAGCACCACAACGTCCAAATATTCTCTGGCACAGTACAAGCAAATGGTGGAGATATGCACTGAGGTGGGGGAAAAGCCCATCTAATGGCAAGTCAGTTGGGCTTTATGTTTGAAGCCCTCAAAGAATACAGGGGTTTTGCTAACCACACCTCTAACCATGAAGGTAAAAAGGACCTAGAACCATGCTGATGAAGTTAACCCTCTCTCCTGTGGTTCTGCAGGAGGGAGAAGGATTTCATGTTGCGTCTCTCCAGGTTTTCTTGATGCCTGCTTGGAAACAGCCATTTGGCATTATTTTTACTCCCTGGGCCTCCAACACTTGAGAATCTCTGCCCCACTCTGTTTCTTGCTTAAGTAATGTGGAATTCAGTGCAGCTCATCCCGGTCACGCTGCATGGCAGGAAAATGTGAGGAAAATAGTTAAAACATAGAGTCAGAGATCCAGATCTCCATGCCTGGCTTTACAGTAAATACTTAACCATTTGGTGCCTTGCTTTCTTCATTCCTACAGTGGGTTTGAATGCTACCTGCCTCATAAGCGCACTGCAAGAGTTATTTAAATTAAGGCCAGGAAGAATCAGTTGAGTGTCTTGGATGGAAGCTTGATATATCTGCGTGCAAAGTGTTACCAGGAGTATGTCCATTTGCTACAGCTGAAACAAATTACAATCTACTCACCACAAAATAGAAGATAGGAGTGCTTTAGAGAGTCAAGAGCCCTCCCATCTGGAAGTGAAAATTTCCAAGAGGACTCAGCAAAATTAAATATATGGGGATGTCTAAGCCGACTGTGAGGGGATAATAAGATGTAAAACTGGCAGCCTAAGAAAGGATTGAGTGAGATGAAGATCCTGTGTTGATAGCCTGTCTCCTTGGATATCAATAACTATGGGATAAAATGGAGGAGGACATAGTTTATAAAGAGGGATTTGGAGAAAACAATCTAATGCATACCCCCATTCTCTTCCTCAAATATTTTGAAACCCTTGAAAGCGGGGCTAACAAGTTTAAACAATTCAGATGTAAGTGAGTTTGGCTGTATCGAAGGGTTCTTTTTTCCCTTGTTTTGGGGGTGGATTAAGTGTTCTTGGACAAGTTCTTAATATGTACTAAATGAAGTCTAGGGTTTTCTAATGTACTTTCTTCCTCAGTTCAGGCATGCCAGTCCTATCCTATTATGTAGCTATATTTTAGATAGTGCAAGATAAAATTTACATTATTATTCACTTGCCTGACATTTTTTTCCTGGTATATGTAGAAAATATGGAGACCTACTTACTTTGAAGTATTTTCAAGCACCCAAAAATGTTCTGTATGTATAGTTCTGTTATATATCTTTCTAATTTCCCCTTATTTTTTTAGGAGTTTAAGGTGTAGTAGCTCATTTGTAATGACTGTGGTCTGTTAATTGGAAGTGTGAAATATTGTACTGTTATGATTTCAGGATTAAGAGATGAAGGCAATATGCTTTTTATAGAGCATATTTATGCACTAGTTGATGAGGAAAGAAAAGCAAAAATTTCCATCAATAACAGTGTCAAGTTTCTGAGCATGAAAATTTTGTCCTTTATTCTCATTTAACTCTTACAAGTCCTCCAATATGCCAAATTGCTGGTTCTTCTGGGACATAGAAAATGGCATTGTGGTCAAGATTCTCAGGCAACTTGCTTTCACTGAATAAAGGGGGCTAAATTAGTTTTACATTTGTAGAACATAATTCTGTGTTCTAATTCTTCCTTATTGATTCAATTTAAATAAAAATGCCCTTTCCCTCTATGTTTTAAATCTCTAATTAAAACTTGTATTTGATCCCAAACCACTTAGTTGCCATTAAACCCAAACTTATTTTGATGTACTAACTACACATCTGAAGGCCAGATTAAGGACATATTTTCCATATTTACCCATGCTTTCAATGAATGACACAAGAGAGGAAACATATACCTTTTCAGTGAATGTCACTATAAAGTTTGGTAAGAAATGAAAACTTTTCTTACTTTGGAAATCCATGTCCTTGGTGTATGTGTGTAATCAGATCTGCTGATTTCAAAAATCAAAACAAATGTTTACTCTTTTTCCTACCCTTTTGCAGAATAGGAACTACTTAGCTAAAATTAGTCAAGTCCTTATATCCTGAATGGGCTCATCACTGAAGCGTGTAAGACAGCAACCTGTGCTAACAGGCTGAAGACTAGGGTTTTCTAATGTACTTTCTTCCTCAGTTCAGGCATGCCAGTCCTATCCTATTATGTAGCTATATTTTAGATAGTGCAAGATAAAATTTACATTATTATTCACTTGCCTGACATTTTTTTCCTGGTATATGTAGAAAATATGGAGACCTACTTACTTTGAAGTATTTTCAAGCACCCAAAAATGTTCTGTATGTATAGTTCTGTTATATATCTTTCTAATTTCCCCTTATTTTTTTAGGAGTTTAAGGTGTAGTAGCTCATTTGTAATGACTGTGGTCTGTTAATTGGAAGTGTGAAATATTGTACTGTTATGATTTCAGGATTAAGAGATGAAGGCAATATGCTTTTTATAGAGCATATTTATGCACTAGTTGATGAGGAAAGAAAAGCAAAAATTTCCATCAATAACAGTGTCAAGTTTCTGAGCATGAAAATTTTGTCCTTTATTCTCATTTAACTCTTACAAGTCCTCCAATATGCCAAATTGCTGGTTCTTCTGGGACATAGAAAATGGCATTGTGGTCAAGATTCTCAGGCAACTTGCTTTCACTGAATAAAGGGGGCTAAATTAGTTTTACATTTGTAGAACATAATTCTGTGTTCTAATTCTTCCTTATTGATTCAATTTAAATAAAAATGCCCTTTCCCTCTATGTTTTAAATCTCTAATTAAAACTTGTATTTGATCCCAAACCACTTAGTTGCCATTAAACCCAAACTTATTTTGATGTACTAACTACACATCTGAAGGCCAGATTAAGGACATATTTTCCATATTTACCCATGCTTTCAATGAATGACACAAGAGAGGAAACATATACCTTTTCAGTGAATGTCACTATAAAGTTTGGTAAGAAATGAAAACTTTTCTTACTTTGGAAATCCATGTCCTTGGTGTATGTGTGTAATCAGATCTGCTGATTTCAAAAATCAAAACAAATGTTTACTCTTTTTCCTACCCTTTTGCAGAATAGGAACTACTTAGCTAAAATTAGTCAAGTCCTTATATCCTGAATGGGCTCATCACTGAAGCGTGTAAGACAGCAACCTGTGCTAACAAGAAGACATGTACAGTAAACTGAATTACTTTTTTTCCACTTGTATCATAGTAAGAGATTATTAAAGCACTTATGCTTCAGATTCAGGATCATTGTTTGAGTGTGCACTGTAATGCTTCTCTGGAAATAACTGAAAATTGTGCATTTGTATCAGAGGTCCAAATTTAAAAGTGTGCACAGGCTCTCTAAGACCTGGATGACCTCAACTGCAACTCAGATTAAAAGGGAAGAAACTATCCGACTAGGAAATTGAGTATGAGTGAGTTTACCCATTTTGCAGACCATACTGTAGTAAGCATGTAGATAGCTGAGTTATCATTGAAGAACTATTAATTTTAATCACAGCTGAGATGATATCTGAGTCTTTAATCATGAATAAATTCCAGCTCATGATTACAAACTCTGTTGTCATATCATTCAACCCTGAAAGACATCCCGTTCTTCTGAAGACCTTCATTACTGAAGATCCTTACTGGATAAACGGGACTCTCAATAGTCATCCACAGATTTGTGGATTACTGAGGGAAACTAAAATTCCTGATAAAAACAGCTGCATAAAATTTGGGAAAGTTCCTTATTCATCACATTCTGGTTTTGCAAAATGATGGGTAGTTCAAATCTGGCTTCTATTTCTCTAAATCTCCAAAATATGGAGTTGAAAAGAAGTGGTTCAAGATGAAAAGTTCTGGTTTTGATGTACTTCTAGGAAAAAAAAAAGAGTACTATCCAAACTGTAAGAGATGTATTATCACAGTTATAAGACAAAGCAAGTAAGGAAATGTTGATTTTAAATTTTTTTCCTGTTTTGCTTCACCTACTTCTTTCCACCAATATAATGAATGCAGTACTACTCCTGCTACTTAAATTGAACATGGAACAATGAATCAATATAAAGCCATAAAATGGAATTTAATTAGAATGATTAGAACGACATTTTCTGGTTCAATATAACTTGTGTGAATAACACCCTGCTCTTGAGTACTAAATAATGTTTTGCTCTTGAGTATCAAACCAACTGCCCTTGTGAAAAAGTTCACAAATTTTAGTACTGATGTGTTTTGCTCTCCAAATTTCTACCTTATGACTATTGTTCAAAATTGACTTGCTTTACAACGTTTTAGCCAGCCAGTCACAAGGCACTGCATCTGACTTAGGTATGTAATTATGCAACAAGACTAAAAAAAAATCAAACCATGAATAAGAAACAGAAAAGAAATAATTTTTCCAGCTGGACTTTCAAAAACAGAGTTCATTAGCAGAAATGGAGAATCGTTCAGAAACAATTTGCTAGCAACAAGGGAATTCTCTCAAATCCTCAAATACAAACTGAAAGAGCCAATTAGCATGAAGAGGATCTGGGGAATTTCACTCTTCCCCAGATATATTCTTTGTTCAGGAGGAGGACTGTTTGATGTGACTTGCTGTGGCCTTGCTCTGGGCAGTCATTTAAGAGAAGGATTGCAAGTTACCTGCAGTGCACAATGACAGGCCCTCTGCCTGGTGATTCCACCCTGTCCTTTTCTACGTCCAGCATGAGCTGCAGCAGAGGCTGAGCGCTGTCAGGGGTCTTGTGGTCCGGCCAGGATGTGTACCAGTAGTGTTTCACACTCCGAGACTGACTCCCTTGCTGAAAATAACATGAAGATTTTATATGCACGCTTGTGGTGAACAATTCTTTTTATTTCTCTCAATGTTATGTTAAAAAGACAGTAAAAATGTTAAGAGAGACTTAACAATTTTTGTTTACTAGACTCGGAGGATGCAATTGCAGGGGAACAGGCATGCTTCCAGGGACACAGTTGTAAGAAGGGCTTCTGCACCTGAAAACTTAGCTGCTAGTTCAGCTACGTAAGTTCTGCTCTGTCCACCCGACTACTAACTTGCTGACTGTGTTGCCAAATGCGAACTTTCAGAGGTCTGTGTTAGATCAGCAATAAGATCTAGAGAGCCTAGCTTGATCTAGGCTTCTGAATCTCTAAATTGTTATGTATTTCTGCTACCTTTTAAGGACATTATCATAAGGATCTGATTCTAAAATGACGAGAGAAGAACTGCCCTTCTAGATTAATCAAACATCCCAGTTTGTCCAGTTATTCTCTCCAATAGAGGCTTCTACCACTTACTTCAAGAAGCCAAGAGGCTAAATAGGGGCTAGATAATTTGTGTTGGACGATATGACTTCTGCCCACTTCTCACTGCCTGGGCTGAAACACCAAACAAATTTTCCCAATTCATTATTTATTATAATGCTCTGTCAGGAGCAGCAGATGATGCAATCTGATAGCACCTAAGTGTAATATGGGGAGTAACTTAGAAGAGGAGCTTCTGGCTTATTTTGCATAGTTAATGTTTAGTCAGAACCATGAAAGCATGAAGCTTTCCTTGTGCACTCCTTCTATCTTTAGCTTCTCAAATGGGCTATAGATGCACTCAGCACACAATGTGAACAGCATATCTTTTTTCAGAATGATGCTATACTAGTTCCTTCATTAACTAAACCCCTTTTACATCACCTTGGCAATGCTAAAAAGGCCTCAAAGCAAATGCAATTCTAGAGAGTGAAACTTGCACTCTTTTTGAAGCTTTTTTTATTGCCAGCATGATACAAAGCAGCAATATGCTAAGTGTTCCAGCACTTTGGTCTCAATCATACCTTGCAGCTGTGAGCTCAGTTACTCCTCCTGTAAAAATTTATGCCCTTTAAAAAAACCCACACTTTAACTTCATTTAACATTAAAAAAATACAGCATTTGGAACAATGCTTCTCAGATGCAGATTGTTACCTTTATCGTAAGTTGACGGACAGTATAGTTCTCGCATTCTTGCACACCGTTAACAAGGACTTCAACCTTCCCATATATTCCTCTTTTTTCTGGCCAATAGAGCACGCATTTCTGGAAAGCAAACATTAGTGGTCATCAACAAACTGGATCCTGGAGCCATATTCATATCTAATTTTTACTCAGAATGTATTTGTCTGGAAAGTTCAGATTAATTCAACCGCGGTGTTATTCACGTCAGAGGCATTCCTAAATAAGATACTGTAGGCCTCTTAAGGACTGACTTAGGCCTGGTTTTCAGGATCTGAGTTTTTCAAATACAGATCTCTATCACTGATTACTCTGAACAGCTGATTTTATTCTTAAAAGGTCAATGAAGTTCAGTTAAAGGAATTATTTTACACATTCAAAATTAAAGATTTTTTTTCTATAATATTAGTTCATAGAATTAAATTTATAAAGTTTACTCTTTCCAAATGAGATTTCCTTCTGAGCAAGACACTTAAAATTTGTCTTGTCCTCATAAGACTTTTTATCCTCTTTACTGTCCTGAGCTCTTATACAACAAAGCATGTAAATATGCCCTCAGATCTTACTAATTCATTGGGACTTAATGTGCATGTTAAAGAATTTTGCAGAATCTGAGTTGCCTATGACATAACTTACTGGAAAGGAGTGTTAAAAAAAATCCATCAGTCTTGTTACAGCTACACAAAATTATATATAGAATTCTTAATAAATTGGCAGTGTTATACTATTTCAGGAATGTATCTGACAAACATTTACTAAAAAGGACGTGAAGAAATACTATGAACCATTTTATTTTTTCTCTGCAATAGTTTGCTTATCTTCAAGTTAACCGCAACTTCATATTAATTTCCATAAAGTATGTATAGTCTATCTGAAAGCAAAGTTCCCTACTGTATAAATACTTGTCTAAAAATAGATGCTTATTACCTTAAGAGTGTAAGGTGTTTGAAAGCCACATTTTATGAAATAATGCTGGCCAATCTGATCTGCTCATCAAATAAAAAAAAACCCTAACAATTAAAGAAAACCTTCTTTTTAATATCCAGTAGACAGGTTAAAAAAAACCAAAAAAACACCAAGAGAAGAGACAGTTCTACAATAATAGGAATCCCAGACAGAACTTGTTTGTATTTTCTCACAAATACTTATTGAAGAAACTGGTATATATTTATACAGTAGCCTACGTTACACAGCAAAAGGAAACAATCTATTTAATATAATTAATTGCCATAAAGCATAAGTCCCAGTAAATACTGCTAAAAATGATCCAGAAAAAAATACCAGTGAAATTCAAGGCTTTACCACCAGGTGTGATCTTTAAGCCTCTACTCTACTTGATAACCCAATAGCTGATTGAACCAAATCATCTCTGTTTCATAAATACTTTTCTAAAAATAGATGCTCATTACCTTAAGAGTGTAAGGTGTGTGAAATAATGCTGGCCAATCTGACTGGTTTCGTTCAAATCCTGTCTTTTGCAGAATTACTCGAACATCCTAAATTTGCTGTGTCCCCGAAGACATCAAGCAGGGCAATAAAATACTCAGAAAATTGTATGAAAAAAAGTGTTCACAAGTTCCACAGTCCCTCCATGTGACACATATAGCGACTATCATCTGCCAGATCTGCAATTCATGCTCCTCCCTGGGAGTGTAGTTTTCAGTGCTAATATGGGAAAAAGTCTAAATACACAATTGTACCCTGACAATCAACAATAGTTGAGTCAACCCCTGAGACTTCTTGATAAATGTGAGCATGTGACACTCACTACAAAGCCTTCAGGCACTCCAGAAGAGTGTTTTTCTTGACTCTTTCCCAGAACTAGAATTGGCAACTTGCTCTGGGTGGACAATGAAATGGGGCTGTTCATTAAAATAACTTTCATTTAAGAGTCTGTCTACATTTAGTGAGATACAATGGATTATTTTTAACACAGTCTCCGTGCATCTTTTTAAAACACCGTTTGTTACCACTTTAAAAAATAGCCTTGAAAAAAGAGCTGGGATCAGCTGGTCCGGGTACTTCCAAGACAACAGAGAGTTGGAGGAATTAGCATGGTTTTGGAAGTTAATTATGATAAAGGGATAAAGATGAAGGTGAGAGGGATAAATATATCAGACAAACAAAACCAAATATAGAAAATCCAAAGAGCATCAGCAAAACGAGTAAATAGATTCAAGCTATTGCTTGAACCCTAGAGAAAAATCCACTGGTCTTAGGTAGGTCTGTTCAAAAGGCAAACACAATGGTTTAGAAGGTTGCTCTCTAGCCTCATGTCTGTAATCACTGAAAGCTTATCACCTACAGTTTACGTCAGAAAAAAAGGAAGAATTCACTCGTTCCTAGTATCATGTAGTCTTCCACCTCCAGTCTTTGTGCTGGTCCCGTTTCTGTTCCTCCCTGTTCTTTCAGGCCACATAGTTTCCCTTTCAGCATATTCATATATTACAGCACTTTCTAAATAGGTCACATATTTTGTGAGTTTGGGATTGAATGTACAATCCTCTGTGTAGTCAGCAAACATATAACAGCTATGAGCAGGATTTTTCAAAAGATGCTTAAACTCAAAAAAAAAAAAAAAAGAAAAGAAAAAAGAAATCCTAAAATCCTAACCAACTTGCATGGCAGCCAAAAGCCTGGGGATCTTCTTACTTTCATGTGGAAAATCTCATCTTCCTGCCATCTTGCAAAATCCCCCTCAGATTAATTTACATTGGTTAGATTTTTGCTAAAAATGATTATTTATTTCTGATCTGGTCTCTGACCTTTTTTTAAAAAAAAACACAACCAAAACAACATTCCTTGACCCGAACAGGAAGTTTATACAAGAAAGAGTATCTCACATGACCTTTAATTGATTTCAGCCTTTGTCCTTCCCCCTGTGACATGGCTGCAGGCTGAGACTCTCTCCATCCCTTAAGCGCCCCATCCCACTCCCAGCAGGCATGTGCCAGGTTTCATGGGACCTCTCCTGAGATGGATCTCCATAACTGAGTAGGGTCTGGCCCTGCCTCGGACTGGGGCTGGCATCTGCTCTTTGCCATGGTCAATCTGTGCTAAGGAGCACAGGCTTTTTTAGCTTCCCAGAAGTGCTCCTGTCGCAGCCTGGTCCCCCAATTCTGCTGAATGGAGGAAGGCTGTCTCAGCTGACAGGTCATTTACCTGCTTTACTTCCCCTGGATTTGGACCCTGAACAAAATTAGTTTAATAATTCTCAAATAATTATGAAGTTGCTTTACTTTAGCTCCTCTTCTTATTTATTTTTCCGTATAACCATGCTAACAAATTTACACATTAAAAGTTCCAACAAGCAGCCCAACACACAACAATAATGAATAATTACAACAAAGCTTCAATTCCAGAATCCCTTTTTACTCCTGACCTCTATTTACTGTCACTACTAACTCAAGCATGAGAAGTATACTTTAAGAGGGCTTGCAGGATTTGCCTTCATATACTAAAATCCTCAAAGTTAGGACAAAATCTTCTTAAGTTTTTCCAAAACCTAAGACATATCTATGGTGCCAATACTCAAATTAACTAATAAGTAATCTTCAAAGAAGCTTATGTGAATTCTGTAAAAGGCAGGATTTCCAAATTCCAAAATCTACTTTGCTATGTGTAGATAAGGGTGCCTATAGACTGAGGGAAAAAATGGTACGTGGAAAATAATATGAGCTTTAAACAGTGAGTTAACAAGGTTGTCCTAGATAATTACTGACAACAAGATTTACATTATCTGAGTTGAATAAACACACATTGTTTAATCCATCTGTTAGTAGCAGTTCTTTCTTCTTCAGAATGCTGCATAATATTCTTCATTTATGCTTCCCAGAACCTGTTTCCTGGTTAACAGGCAATGTTGCTAGTAAATTTTGAAGGCAAACTAAACTAAGTGCGTATTATCTATGGAGTACACAGCATATACAGCTAAATTCTATAGAAATCTATAAATTATATAGATATCTATAAAATTCTTATACTCGTTTAACTAATTTCCATTGCTCAGTTGTCTTGACTAAACTCAGTAATATATGAAGCTTGTATGTGCTTCATGGATAAAGCTTTCTAAGATCGTGTCCTAAAATATTACTGCAGAAGTAGAGGTGGTCACCTTCAGTGGGTCATTTATCTCATTCTCTTAGAGTGGGATGGATCACCCTCTGCAGTTGACTATTGCTCTTCAGTGACCAAGGAGGGCACCTAGACCACTAGATGAGATGTGTTACTCCTCGTATTAACCCTAAAATTATAACCTAGAATGCCAAGTTTCTCACTACTTATTCAGGCAGAACCTCCTTGGCTGTGGACTCTCCTTGCACAGGTAGATTTCCAATATGTTCAGACATTGTGTAGTTTTGAGGACAGGTTTTACAGATTCTGCTTAAAATACAGCACCCATAGTTCCTTCAGCATAATTCTTGCTTAGAAATCAATACCCCTTTTTTAAAAATCAGAGTTCAAAATGAAAAAGAAAAAAAATCCAGTAATTTAATGCTCCAGGGATTTTCATACAGCTGAAATGTGTATTTTGCTCAGCACTCTGCTTCCACATTATATCTTCATCCATCTTGTAAAAAGTGTTACCACAGTGAGTCTTTAATCTTTTTTTCATCTGATAGAAGGAAGTAACTCTATAGAAATCTTTGTTTATCATCACTTCATACAATTTCCATTGTTATTGCAAATTTATCACATCAGTATATCGAACTAGGACACTAATGTCCCAAATAATTTCACTTAGGCTAAATAAATGATTTAATTCTTGAGATTAAGGTTTTTTGTGTGTCTCTTGTATAAGAGCTCCCTCATTATAAATTACTTTATAGCACATTATAGGCTGACTGATGTTATATCAACTGGAGCGGGGCCTATACCTGACAAGTTAGATGTAGGGCTTTATTTGTGCAGGGCTGGACATGAATCAGTGGATGAATACGCTTTCAAATATGAAGGTATTTGTATGTGTGCGGCAGATGTACCTCCCTGAAAACGATGGAAATAAAGCAGACCACAGAGAAGAAAACATATCAAGTGCTATTGTGCTAAATAACATCTGCTTTGTCTTCTCTATAGAGAGCAAATACTTTAACAGTGAAGTTAATATGCTGAGCATAGTCACTAGCTAAGCTGTTTTCTTTTCACCAGCAAGCAAGGTTTCAGGAGGAACCAGCTAACGGTGGGAGAGTTCTTACGGTTCCTGGACAAGGCAGGACAGCCTGTGCAAACACAGCCTCTCTATATAGCCTGGGAACGATTTGAGATTCCCCACCCTTTCTATTAGGAGGAAATTACCACTGCCAGGCCACAACAATGCGGATAAACACCAGTGCCTAGAGCCTGCGTAACTCAGGTAAACACAGGGCTTCCTGACACGATGGAAACCACTGGGCACTTCTTTCAAGTCATTCTTCTTACACAGTGTCAGATGTGAGTGTTTAAACAGTCAGCATTTCCTCACTGAAATTCTTATTCTTCTGGCCAATTAGGCTGGGGTAAGTTTTCTACATTTTCAGGAGTAATCTTTTTAATGTAGGCTTCTGGACACTTGTTTGAACAGTCTAGTGCAAAATGGCTCCTGGTATGGAAAAACATCTTGGGATATTTTACAGGACCAATCTACTCTTCACATACAGCTTTTTTGAAGCCCACTGATTTTAAGTTCAGGTTAGAAGCCCAAACTCACAGTGGCAAAGAGCCAAGCACTGGTCAGGGGCGAAAGAAAGAACAATATATCTACTGAGTCCATATTTACAAGGACCAGTGAGTTTGAGCCCTGGGAACACACTCAGGATCTTGGTCCTTTGATCACTCAGACAGGGAACTTTGCCTGAATAAACTCTGTTTCTCTATCATCACACGTATCTGAGTTTGAAGAGCAGAGGTGTGGAGCAGGGCCAATATGGCCTTGGTGCTTACCCGGCAAGGTTCTGAGACTCAGTTGAGGCACTCACCTGGAGCTGGAAATTACTACCAAGTCTAGCAGTTTGGAGTCAAGAAAAAAGTTTGGACTCAGGAAAAAAGTCAATCTCCTTCATGTCTGTCTCCCTCTTGTTCACAAGACCTGTAAACCACTTTTTTAACATCCAATTTTTCAGAACATAACTTTGTGTTGGCCCTCTACATGGGAGAATGATTTTCATTCCTAATGCCTGGCAGTCACAAATATGGACTCTGGCATTATCAAGAAAAGCCTGGTAACAATTTACACGAATACTAAATAAAGCTATTAGAGATGTAATTGGAAATCGACCCAAAAGTCACAGAATGTGTATCAGGCAGTTAGGTGGCCATTAGCAATTAAAATGCAATTGTCATCTCTACTTGGTACTAAGGTAAACAGCTACATATTTCCATTCTGGCTAAGTACCTCCATGGTATTGTCATTTGGGAGCTCAAACTGTATTTCTGGGATTTCTGATTTGTAATATCTGGAATGGATTCAAAACCTGCCATTATAGCAAAGTGCAAGCTTCAGCCATGTCAGGAAACCACTAATTGTAACACTAACCATCTATTCTTTATATACCAGAAAGTAACAAGAAGTACAGAAGTGACCAACAGAAAAATGAGGTGTTTCTTTAAAAATTATGAACCCAACAGCACAGATCTAGAAAATGGAATTCCTTTTTGTATTTTTTAAATACATCTCTTATGATTGCTATGCAATTGGTATATTTGGCTACCCCAACATTACTTTCCACATTGCCCATTACCAGAGTATTTACGAAACAGTTATGTGCCTGCTTCCTTCCATATCTGCTAAGGTTCTTTCTACAGTACACAGCCATAGGAACAATTTCTCATTTTGGCTAGTTGTCATACCTCATTTTTTTCTTTCAGCTTTGTGATCATAACAATGACAGGGCTGTCTTCTTGCCAAACCATCTGCCAGAAATCATTCACAGTATTAATCATGGGTCCCTGAGTTGCAATGAAAGCCTTCTCTTTACCTCCATATCCCTGGTTTAGAGACAGAAACAAAAGTAATTACTTTAAATTCATGTGGTTGACCAAAATTGCAGGTGAATCTTCTGAAAGAGCAGAAAAACAAATCTGGACTTAAAAAAAAAAGAAAAGAGTTATTTGAACTGAAAGCAGTTATGACTAACAGTAGAGCAGATCAGAAATTTTTCAGTAGAACAGTTTTTCCTCTGGAAACTACTGATTCAATGGACTGAAATGGTCCTGAGAATACATCAATCCCTATCAAATTTCCCTGCTTACTTGGCCTCTCCTAGCTCATTCCGTTCTTCAAGTTGTTGGGGCTTTCCATCATCCAGTAGTACTTTAATCCATGATTTATATTGCTGCAGTGTTTACAAGATAGTTTACAGCCAACAAGCCACAGGAAAAAAATAAGAATTATAAAACTATTTTCTACAAAGATTCATGACAGGAAAAAAAAATATTAAAATACAGGAAGGCTCATGGAGTCAAAGACTCTGCTGTGCATCTTTGCTAAGGGAGAAGCATCTTTATGAGGCCTTATAGGAGGAAAAGTATATCAGTATAGGGAGCCCCAAGACACACAAGTGTACAGGAGGGCAAAGAAAGTTCAGGCAAACTGGGGAAGCAGAGGAAAGGGAAAGGCAAGAAGAAACAGGAAAACCAAGCGTCCACCTTTTTATTTTTTGGGTGAGAAAGAGAACTTGTAAGTTTGTACAGTGACAAGGTGCCCACAGTAATTCAGATCAGGTGATCCTGGCAATGTCTGAAGGGAATGAGTGAATGGAGAACAGCTGGAGATGGTGTGGGAGCCCTCAGCCACGGGTCTTCCTTTTGGGTGCCTTTTTGCCTGACAGCTGTTGCTCTTTCCATGAACCAATGAGATAGATCCTCAGCTGGTATAAACAATCCTCCCTGTACTCACCAATCTTTGGTGAGTACTTTGAATGTACTTTGTCTGTGAGAGGTCTGTCAGGATCCCAGCAAGCCCAATGGTATTGCATGAATAGATAAGAAAATTCATTTTATCACTGGGTTGTATTTTTTCTGCAGTTGCTAACAGTTCTGGTGTAGCTGGTGTTAGCAGTGGGAGAAATCATCATATGTTGGCCTGAAGGGTGGTGGCAGGGTGAAAAGGGAGACCTCAGAGGACTCAAAACATGGCCTGCCTGAGGGAAGAGTTGTTCTCCAAAGAGAACCGCTCTGCTTAGTTACACCATGATGTCTTTTGTACAAAACACTGAAAGTACAGGATGTAAAGTGAGGCAAGGTAAGGGATATAGGGGATGTATATGACTATATTCATGTACTGTTATTTAAATAAGCAACATCACTGTAGAGCTCTGGGGACAAATTTCAGTTGCGCTATTACGTTTATTCCAGCTGAGGATCTGGTACAGAACTCTAATCAAAACATTTGCAGGTAGAGCACTAGATTCCTAAAACATGACTGAAGTAACTTCTTAGTAGTCTAGTCAGCATACACTGTGCTATGGGTTCAAGAAAGCTGTGTGTGTGCCATCAAGGATTATAGTATAGCTGACAGTAAGAAATAATGCTTTCCAACAGGGTTCATGTTGGTAAAGTCTTTGTATCATGTAATCATACAATATAGGGAGTAAAATGTGAATGGGGGTGTGTGCTGGTGCACATGTGTAATTTAACACGTCTCTTTATGCTCCTTTTAACAAACTTGTTACAGTATTTATGTAATTACTTAACTAATGATTTCATGACTATTGATATAGTTATCAATGAAAAAAAACCCATCACCACTGAACTTGTCTGTGGATAATATGACTGCAAGGAGCAATCATACAGCTTATATTGCTGTTGACTCTGATTTTCTCCATACCAAAATACTGGTATCTCTGTCACTGTTAAAAGGTAACCCTATTTTTCTTTCTATAAGGCAGTAGGACAATATTAACTGGTAAATACTGATGTAAACAAACAGTAATGCATGCGTTTCTTAATATTTTTTATAAACTCTGATAAATTGTGTTCTTATTGCAACCTTTGTAGTAGATTCATGGCTATATGTTCTTTGTTACAAACAAAACTATGACTATCACATCAATGTAGACAAAAAGATTAGATTATCAACAAAGATGGGTAGGAGTAAAATGGGTGGCACCTTGGCAAAATCAGCTATTCACATGGAAAATCAAATACCATCTCAAAAGTACATGAAGAGTGTACATTTACTTACCCTAATGTAGTTAGCATTTATGTAGGTACTCAAGGAGTCAGTTGGATTTTTTGGTTTCAAGTACACTCTGCTTAGAGGATCTAAGAGCACAAGGAAGATGGAAATTGAAAAGAAAACCCATCATTAGAAGATTTCTATAGAGAATGAAAGACTAGTTGAAGAAAATAATCTATTGTTATTTGGGTTTGTTAAGCAGTAAATCATCATGCATCAAATTCTTCCCTCTGCAAAGGATCATCATGTGTAACTGAGGTACATCTGTACTGCACAATGTTGGGCTCTGTAGAAGTATCTCAGCAAGCTATGGGCTTTAAAGCCACACTATCAGGTCTAGGCAATGATCAGTAAGGTCTACTCTGCCTGTCTTGAGTAGCAAGCTGGCCTGTCTAGATTGTCTCTGAAACCTGTGTCATACCATCATATGATGCTAGATAATTACACCAAGTTCTTTTGATTCAGCTTTGGTATCTTTGCCTGAAGTTGAACTGTTCCAATGACTACAGGTGGATTTAAATTAAGAAAAGCTCCTTCTCCCTTGGATGAAATCAGCTGTGTGCTTTTATACTGATTTAAGTTCACCATAAGGGGTTGGACTAGGTAATTCATATCTTTCCCTTCAGTTCTGTGTTCTCATCTGACACAATTTGTGACCACTCATGTGTACTAGACTGGAGATGTAAGGTCAAAATACAGGAATATTTTCCTTCATGCTCTTTCCTCCACTGTCTTGGATAATCTAGAATAGAGTAAAGGACAGTTCTGAGTACAGAGCTGAGTAATACTAAATCCCTCCTGCAAAGGAAGTTTTTGCTTGCTCATTTGTGATTATGTGATCGCTCATGTATTACCCTTTTGGAATTAAAGCCAAATAAATTCTCAATTACACAGTGTAACAGAAAGGGGTAAGGAGAGTAGGAGTGAGGTGCCTATGTTGCGGCTGTCCAGAGGCACACTTGACTTTCTTCACACCTTTTCTGAAAAAATATTCTACTTTAACCAAAATGATATGGAAATATTTCTATACCTATAAAAATAATATTTTCTTCTGGTAATTTGCTTAAATAATTAATTAGAAGCAGCAGCTTTTTGCAAGTATACAGACACCTATAGGTTTCAAAATAGTCTCTGCTTTGCTGAGTGCAATCTAAGCAATGTGTTTAAAGGTACATATACGGATGCTGAAATGGAGAGTGGTAAAAAAACGTTATTTATTATGTGGTCCTGCTGTTTACACAAAAAATATATAATTGATGTACTTCTGCTGTAGCAAAAACTGGTATTTTCAGAGTTGCTTTTGGATTTCTTTTGTGACTTTTCATCCTGTTCCTAAGAACAAGATAAAACCTTTGCAAATCAAAGGAAGAGGAGGGATGATCCCAAACATACTTTATGTCCTTTTCCCACTGGAGGTCACAGGAGCATCTTGGACAGGAGTGGAGCCTTTGCAGGACCCAGCCTGGTGTTTTGAAAGTGTGTTCCTTAAAATGTGCAAATGAATGCATGACTTCTAGTTCAAAGTCTGGGCATGGAAGTCTTGTCCTCTGTGTTAATAGCACAACATGAACTCTAGTTAGCTTGTGTTAAAATCTCTTTGTACTAGCTTTCCCAACTTTTTCACTTAGAGCTTTTTTTTCCTCTTAACAATATGAGAACAGGAAACCTCTCATTCCTTTTCAGCACAGAGTGATTATTAGCCATTTCCACAAATGCCTCAGGCTACGTGGCCTTGAAAAAACACCCGCTTCCTCTCCCTCACACAATGCCTCTGATTCTGGTGTAGCTTGACCCCTACCTTAAAAAACCTCTTCCAAGCAGACTCAACATCCAGTTTAATTACCATGTCTTGAGATAAATCCCTCTGTTACTAAAGAGCAGCTAAATCAGTTCTGCAGTTTCTTGAGACCTTCTTCCAACTCCAATCAACGAAACAAACACTGCTTCCGAATGGGAATCTTTTATAAATTAACAGTCCTGATCAGTTATGAAATAGGCAAGCGCTGTAAACTCAGCTCTGAAAGGAGGGAAACCTGAGTGCCGCTAAAGATCCAGAGCCACTAAGCAATCATCAGACACAAATGGAAGTAATTAGCTTCCTCCTGAATGACAAATACCTTGGAGGTAATAATCTTTTCCTCAAGGATGGCAAAGTTTGAGAGTCTGAAGCTATAGCAGGAAGACACAGATGGTGGCTGCAAGGCTGTATTCATCAATGCTTGTAAAACATCTTGAAACGCAGCAGAGCCGTTAAGCACTTATAATTACTAATAAAAAATGTCTCCTACAATTTTGACTGAGGCAAAATTACTGCTGCTTTCTTCCACGTATCTAAGAAGTCTGGAACAGTGCTCCCATTTGGGTAGAAGAAGCTTCCTCTAACTCCATCTTTAACAAATTAATATTGGCCTGATTTTACCAGGCTGGATGAATAGAAGGGTGTTAAGGGGCTGTAGCTCCCCACCACGAGACTGCCCGGTGTAGGGAAGAAGCTGGGCTGTATGGTGGCACTGCTGGGCAGCTTCCCCCACTGCCATTGATACTGGAGGTTCATCCACACCATAAACACCACTTCGTCATGAAGACCTAGGGCTTTGTCCCATTGCAAAAGCTGCATTTGTTGTATGGAGGGTATGATGAGCTGTGGTCATTTTTTCTTCTTCTATTTCGACTGCTATTATGTCCTGAACTCTTTAGGGCATGGGTATCTTCACATTTGCAGCATTTCCAAGATAAGTAATTTGGTACTTCTAGTCCAGTCCTAGTTGCCTTACCAACAGTTGGACTGAAATACTGTGAGAAGGGCTTATGGTATTTCTGTTTTGTGAGCAGGAAAGGAAGATGAAAATTTTGTGAGGCAGACTGCTCCCACACTTGCAGCCCAAAAGATCATAAATCTTTCAGATATTGAAACCTTTTGAAATTCATCCACTTCTATTTTTCCTGGTTTGCTTGCAGTTTCTAAATGAATTACGAATATTGATATTACTTGGTAAACACTGTAACACAGAACGTGGAAGAATCATACCAGACTGTTCCCAGTCTCTGCCAGGTGGGGAATAGGCTATTAGACTTGCAAATAATACAACTGCCTCAAAACACCTCACGTATAAAACACCTGTAAACTACGCATCATGTTATAATCTCATCTGAGTCATTCCTGGCACTTCCAATGTAATCCAGGATTTCTCAATGGAAAACTTAACAGATTTATCATGGTGAGTGCTTCTGCATTTTAAAACATGCTTGAGCATTACAAAATAAATTTTTATTCACGCAAAGAGTATCTTTCTTATCTACTAAAAATAAGATCTGCCTAATATCCATTTACATTTTAATTATGCAGTTTAACATAGATCAGTTATTATAATACTGGCTATTCACAAATATTATAGATGTTATCATAGTGGTGACTACAAGGGCACATATTGCCGACTCACATGGATATACAAAAAAGATGTGATGAACCCATGTTGAATTCCACTAAGATTAAACAGTTTTTCTCCTTCTGCTTTGTAAATACGATTTTTCTCTTTGTAAAAGCCTGCTGGTGGTCCTATTGCCTTCACTAGGGAGCAGGACTGGAGCAAATACGACTGCTCATAGTCAGGACTATAGTGCAAGGGAGCTTGAAAATTCTAAACATCAAGAGAAGGGTTCTCCTGCATTTGTCTCTAAGCTTGCATAATGAGGTGTTTTGTTCATATGATTTAGATTTAACTTTCCCCTTTAGCTGGAGTGCCAGAGCCAGTTTTAGCGCAAGCACTCCAAGCAATAGCTTGTAGTCTCACCTGCCAAGTGCTTTCTACCTTCATGTTACTGTGAATCTGCTGTTCTGCAGTGACTGCTTTCATGCAGACTTTTGCCCTGAGGGTACTCTTCAGAAAGGGGTAAGGAATGACATCCAGGTACCTTGGATGTGTTGCACACATCAAGATACCCACAGAATAGCATTAAGCTACTTGCTCCTTTGTAAGCAAGAGCCCACACGTGCTCTGAAGCACTGCGGGAATTCTGCTTCTGGTTTGAGGTGGAAAAGTGAGACAGGAAGGGGAAAAGATAAAGGGCTTTGAAGTGGAGGTCCTGCTGCGGGAACATGGAGTGGAGACATGGGGGCTGCCAGAGACAAGCAGGCAAAGGTGAAGATGTGGAGTAAGAGGATGAGGAGGGAGAGACAGGTGTTCTGCCTGTTCTGCCACAAGGCTGTGGTGAGAGACTGAGAGATCTGTGTGCAGGACTGGGAACTTGCTCAGAGGGAGCAAGAAATGCTGTAGGTGGATGGCAGAGGGAATGCAGCTGAAGATACAGAGCAGGGTTTAACAGGACCCATGGCTGGGGTCACAGTCTGGAGCAAGGGTGGAAAAACAGTGATTCTAAGGAACTGTTTAGCCACTTGTCTCTCAACCCACACTGTCCCCTCATTAGTTGCATTAACGTGTTACTATAAAGGAAATAACAGTTCAAAAACTTAAAGAGGCATCCCAGTGTTTGCGTAAGAGCATTGGCTATGTTATACTGCAACTAGAAATGTAACATTTCCTGTACTTTGTAGTTTTCCATATAGAATAATTTTTATTAGGCGTTCATTTTATTTCACAAGAGTGTGTCTGCCTGGGTAGTTTCTCTTAACATGAGCCTGCCCTCATGCACCCTGTCACAGAATTATCTCTTAGAAAATGAGAACATCCTCCACAGCGCATAGGGTGGAGCTGGCTGGACTGGGCATTTTTAGGAGATAATCCATCAGCTCAAATATCACTTGTCATCACAGGTGCCCCGATTCAGGAGACGCACCCATTACTGGGAATGGAAAAGCTGATGCGGGCGTACGAAGCAGCAGGTTGATATCATCTCAGCAGGAAACCAGGAAGGCTATTCTATTTAATCACTCAAATCGTTTCCAAACCCTCTCGGACTGGGTGTGGGGTGTGCGAGTATTTATTATGAGCATGTGCCTCCATCCTCAAAATATCTTCTTTGAAACAGCCTGGTGCTAACACACAACAGGCCTTTTGGTTTCTGTCAAAGATGGTTACAAAGTGCCTGTCAGTGAGTAGCTGTGGTGCACAGCGGCAGCGTGCTCGGACTGAAAATGTGCCTCGGAGTTAGCGGCACATCCCGGCTAACTGGAGGTGAAAACACAAAGGCATGCTGGTTCTCAAAGCTCATCAGCATCAACCATGGCCCAGCTGTCGTGTCCCGATTCAAAACACATGCTGCAGTGAAACAGGACTCAGCGCGTTTGCAAGGTATTGCTGAAGGCGAACCTGATGGTGGCTGCTCGGACGCGAGATGCTACGGGAAGGGAGAACTCCTTCCAAAAATCTGCCCGTCAGGCGGAGGGAGGCTTCGTGATATCCTGGCTCCACTGCAGCTGATGGCAAAAGTCCTGCTGTCGTCAAAAAGGTCAGGATTTCACCCGCCATGTACATCCTGTTGACACTGGGCCAGACTCCAAGGGACGCTGAATTTTCTGATTACTTGGTATATAACTTGCATTCAGTTACTTATTTTCTTTAATTCCCTTCAACATTCCTCCATTGAGGTCAGCTGCACACAGCTATTGGTTGCAGTAGATGAACTAACCTTGAAGTCAATGGGAATATTACTGGGGGCTGAAGGGAAGCGAGAACTCTGCAAGAGTTTCCTTCCCAGCTACGTATCACATTTCTGAGACTAATCTAGCAGCTGAAGACCATCAGTTTTCATTAATTTAACTGCAAGGCCTTTGTATGATGTGAACAAATTACAACGCGTTCAGGCTTGCCGAGAGAAATCTTGTCATTTAAAGTGTGTGAATTTGCATGACTAACATATAACACAGGCCTACAAGGACATTATAGAGATGACTAGAGAACAAATTTCTAGTTGATAGGATATACTGTCATTTTAAAAGTAATCTTCATTCCAAACCTAAACAAAGGGATATGTTTACATTTTTCTGTGGGAGTGTTCTCCAACATTTTGAATCATTGAACTTTTTCACTTTGGTGATGTCAAAATTTATAAAACCTCAACTATTCATGTCTATATTTAGTGCAATGCTAAAACTTCTGCAACCTATTTTGAAACTGAACCCAAAATAAAATGATTAATAAAAGAGAAATGGAATGTCATATCTCATTATCCACCAACAAATGTTATGGAAATAGTTGCTTTTCAGAGAAATGTGTATTTTGAAGGAAAACTATTCCACTGAAAAGTTTTCAGTCACCCCTAATTATAACGAAGCGATTGTTACTTAGTCAGAAATAAGAAATTTGGGCCAACAAAAATACAGAAGCAGTATAGCAAAGCAATAACAAGTTTACAGCAACGATGTTGCAGCACTGTGTTAGGGTGGCTTTCTTACTAATGTAAACAGATTTCCACAAAGCCGGTTAGTGCATGGAGAATTAAAACACTACTCCAGAGGACTTATGAAGATAGAAATCCACTACAAGAAAAGATAGGATGAACTTGCCTTTTTTAGTCTGAGCCATTTAATGTTGGACACAATCCCAAGTAGCTTTACCCAATCAGAGAGAATTCAGTGACTGCAAGAAGGTGTGGACTGTGGTAGAGAACAGTCTTGGTGCTCTCATCCTCCAGACTGGGGGAGCTACTATGAGGCATGGCAGATCTCTCTCTACCCATCTTCCTGACCTGTCCTTCAGAGAAAACCAGCATGCATCCAGGTTGCCTTTCAGTACATGGTTGGGATGCTGTCAAAGTGTGTACCTACTAAGGCATACAGTAAGAGTTCTGCATTTGCCAGTCCTACAGCACTGGGCTTCTGTTGTGTTTTTACATGGCCTATAAATACACTTGTGAACAGGTACACAACAATCAAAGAAAAAGACAGCTAGATTTTCACAGCAATACGTTCTCAAAGCAGGACTAAACGTCACAGTAGGAAACCCCGGGCTAACTCACTTACTTGGCAAAATTGTTTTATAGCGGTTTTTAGTTCCGTGACTCGGGATGTCAATTTCTTTGGGATCCACAAAATTCATTGGTATTTCCTATAAAAAATAAATTAAATCAGATTGGTGTTTCCAAAGGAGCCATGCAGGAAATTATCACCAGAAGGCCATCTGCTGTTACACAACTGTCTTTTGACATCAAAGTTATTAAGAAAAAAAGTGGTTCCCACCTCAAGCCTGTCAACACCCTTCCTTTAATAAACACAGGGAGTTGCATATTGAAGTGGTGACTTCTAAGGAACACTTCTGATGAATTAGTAAAAGCAAAATTTTTACAGAATTAGGAGAGAGGTTAAAATTCACAATAGTTCTAGAAAAGTAGAGTTGAAAAGTGCAGTACTGTAGCAGAAAAAACGGAACATTTTACATTATTGGGGGAGGAACTTTCAAAATAATTAAATATTAGTATATGGCAAACATTTTTTAAATTTTGTGCGAAGCCCTTAACAATGTCAAAGACCTCACTTGCTTTTTACAGAAACTACTAGAATGAAGTGCCTTAGCCTTTCACATTCAGTGACTCAAGTGTAATAAAAATCTGAAGTAATATTTCTCTTGATTCTCATTTTGATCTTTTAGTGACTGATCCATGATGTCTTCTTTAAATATGCAGCTGTGCAAGTAACTAATATGACAGTTTGCTTGAAGTTCCAAAAATTGTTTGTCGGCATGAAAATTAAAAATCCTCCAGTTTTTCATTGAACAAAATGTTTCAATTGGTCTAAGGCGGGGGGGAGAATGGTTCTGATTTTGAGGTCCTGAAACATTGTTAGTGTTCTCACAGTTGAATAAAACAACCCTTTGAAAAAGGCAAGATGAAACAAGTAGAGCTTTTTTTTCCTGATTGTGCGGGATGTTTTACCAACCAAAACAATCTGACAAAATCACATTAAAAATGCTTCAGTTGACTCAAAACTTCATTTTTACAGAATTGTTTTGGCCTCAATTATTTAAATTATCTTAGGGTAAGCTGGAATTTGATCTTCAGTAAATTAATACTTCTACTTAAAAGAACAGTCATTACTAGAGACTTGAACACTTCATTGCTAGCCTGGTGTATTTGTCCAAAGAGACAGCAGCTTATTATTAAATAATTGCCTCTTACAGACACATAGGAACATGAGGATGCACAAAAGGTATGATCCTACCCTATGCAGTGCAAATGTCCTTTGACTTGCACCACTGAAAAATTTACTGAAGGATTTTCCTCCAAAATCAGCCGGTTTCTACCTCCACAGGCTGCAGGCACAGATGAGATGCATGGCCACTGTCCTTCAGACCCGAGCTCTGGTTCTGCCTAGCGTGACTGGCTTCTGCAGGATATTTTTTAGAGGAACAGGGAGAAGGCTCCTAACAGTGTGCCAAGGATGCACCCAACAACAGATCTTTACACCAAGCAGGGAATCTACCCTCTTACTTTTCTGGTTGAAGAGAAGGCAAAGTTAAGTAAAATTTAGATTGGTCATAATAAATTGCTTTAATTCTTTTCTGCTTCTCAACTCGGTTTCTGAATATCTTACTACATAAGGCTGCAACGTCTGCATTGGTTTTTATTTTTCTACCTTATGCCCATGTGTTTAGTGGGCTTTCTTTATTCTTCCTCTATTCCTCACTCAGTTTCTTCCTCGATCTCTTCCTTGCTCTTCAGCCAATGCCTCAAAGGAATGACTTCCTGCCTCTCATTTCAGGCCAGCCAAAGTTCTGCTGCTAAGATACACCTTCCTTGCAGGTGTTTCACCCAACCCTTTTTCAGCTCCTGGTTCTGCTGTCCACATCCCTGCACTAAGCACAGGATCTTCTCACTTGTAAGAATCCATTCCTGCATAAACCTCATCTCCATTCCTTCATGTCAAACCATCTCACCTCTGTCCTGCTTCTGATGCACCTTCCTCCTCCGTGGAACTACAAAATGAGCTTCCACACCCCCCTCATTCCCACCTCTGACCTTCACCCCTTCCCAGTGATTATCTCTGTGAGACTCTTCCCTTTGGCCCTCGGGCTCTGAATTGTCCTAACTGGCTCTGGCACTAGCTTAAGCTAGTGGCTGACCTAGAGCTTCCCTGGTTCAACTCTAGCTTAGTGTAAACACGATGACTGCATGGCTTCTGAAAGGTTTCCCTGCTGAACTGTATATGAACTGAGAGAGAGCAATACATTAAGCCTGTGTTTAATATGATCTGCTTCTGTCATCTGCAGAGACTGGAAAAAGATGTGTGAGGGAGAGTCCTCTGCCTGCACAGTAAGAGATGGTGGTCAGAGCAGCTCTTCTAGCTGCCTGTCTGTCTCCCTCTTGGTGTCTGCTGAAATGTTAAAATGGTTCATCAGTTGGTGAGCTACTGACAGATGCAGAAATGCCACCGAGCTGAAAACAGAAATGCATTTCTCTGAGCCAAAAAGGCCAATTAATAATATTAATAACTTACATCCTGTAAACATTTTCTAGTCAGTGGGCTCCTCACAGTAGTAAGTACTTGTGGGACCAAGGGCACAGACAGAAATCTGACAATGCACCATGGATCACAGCCACAGACAACTCACTTATTCTGAAACTGGCTGTGAAAAGCAAGTCATTATTCCATTTTGGTTTTTTTGTTTGGGTTTTTTTTTTGGGGGGGGTTTGTTTTTTTTGTGGTTGGACTCGATGATCTCTAAGGTCCCTTCCAACCATGAATATTCTGTGATATTATATAATTAAATAATTACAGATAATGTATAAGATGCACACATTCATGTGCTCAGTTGCATGCATACAATTATAGATGCATAGCTAAATATGCTTTTGTTCATGGGCTACTTCACCTCTCTGAGCAATATTCTTCTAATAATATTAGAATCATAGAATCATAGAATCGTTTGGGTTCCAAGTGACCTTTAAACGTCATCTAGTCCAACCCCCCTGCAATAAGCAGGGACATCTTCAACTAGATCAGGTTGCTCAGAGACCTGTCCAACATGACCCTTGAATGTTTTTAGGGATGGGACATCTACCTCTTGAATTCTACGGAAAGCATCCTTTACAAAGCCAGCTCTGTTCTGCTTCTTTGTCCCTGAGGGCAATTTCCCGGGGGGTCCTATTGAACAATTCCTTGAAGAGCTGGAAGTTCGCTTTACTCTTTATTCTTTACTCTGACTTTACTCTTCACCTGACCCACATCCCTCAGGACTGGGAACTCCACCAGTGTGTGATCACTACAGCCCAGGCAGCCTCCAATCTTGACATCACTGATTAGCTCACTTGTGTTGGTGACCATCAGCTCCAGTATCACATCCCTTCTGATAGGGCTGTCTGTGACCTGACTTCAGCTGTTATTCTCAGTGCACTCCAGGAGTCTCCTGGATGGCCTACAGCTTGCCATGCCACTTTTCCAGCAGATGCTGGGGTGGTTGAAGTCCCCAGGCAGGATGAGAGGCTGGGAGCATGATGCCTCATGTAGCTGGAGTAAGAAGGCTTTGTCTATAGGCTCACCTTCATGGGGTGGCCTGTAGTAGACACCAACCAAAGGCTCTTTTTGTTGCCTCCATCTCTAATTCTTACCCATAAGCTTTCAACCTGCTCATGGCTATTCTTCAGAGACAGCTTTTCACACACTATCCATTTTTTGATGTCAAGAGCAATGCCTCCACCTCTCCTTCCTCGCCTGTCCCTTCTGAACAGCCTGTTGCCATTGATATCCACACTCCAGTCATGAGCTTCATCCCACCAGGTTTCAGTAATGGCAACTAGATTTGTAATAACAGCTATTCTGGCTCACATTAGCCTTTAAATGCTACAACTGTTCTACACTCAAAGAGTTAATTAAACAACTAAAAATAACCCGAAACCACTCATGCTTCAGTTTTCCATCAAAAACTGAACATTTCTCCACTTTTTGCACGCTTGGAAGGTTTTCATGGGAACTAATAATTTTAGTCTCAAGAAGACTGTCTTATTTTATTTCTTTAGCTAGCTAAAACAAGCTGAGCGAGCAGAAAGAGTGAGGGTTATATATTGCGTTCTTTGCATGCCTCAAGTTCCTACTAAAGCTATTATGTGTAGCAAGGAAGATATTAAACAGATACTGTTAAACAGCTTCATCTTAAAACCATTTTAAAAAATGGTTTAAAGATAAGTCATTATCTTTTCAATAAAATTCTGTGAAAACACTGAATGGGCAAAGTCATGTTGTGCTACCTTGAGGAACAAATGAAATGTGAGTCTCTGTTGCCCCAAAGCCACGCAAGGATGCTGTGCAAGAGGATTTGGGTAAATAGGATTCTATGGAGGTGCCACGTTGTCTGTACAAACTGACTCCTAACATGGGGCGTTTAAGCACGATGAAGGTATTTCTTCTAGCTTTCATGCCTAAGCAGCAGAACGGCAGAGAACCAATGGTGTAACTGGTACCCTCTGATAGCAGTTGGTAGCAAGGCGTCTGAGGGAACTTAGGACAAGCTTTACTTTGTGTTGCACTGGTCGCCTGAATAACTCGAATGGTTATTCTACCTGAATAGGCAAAACAGTCCTTGTCTCATCTGGTATCTCCTGATACAGAAGCTGCTGTACTCTGTGATTATGCTCACCATACTTCTGTATGTGCTCCGAGATGGAAAGATCAGAGCAGCATGTAGTTGTGAAAGCAATATAGATTATTGTGATGTCATAAAAATGTTTTCTATATTATTCTCTGGTTCTTTTCTCAAGATTCTTAGCTCTGTATTTCAGAACCCATCAAAGCATCCAAACCTGTTTTCTCCCAATTGTAAAACATTTTATGTATTAACCCTGAATTTCTTCTGCCTCATCATCATCATAAAATTCTTCTGTAATTTCTTTGAAGCCTATTTTTAATTTTACTACTCTTGGTAATTCAGTGTCACCATCAATTTTTGCCACCTTACTATTTATTCCCATTTCCAGATGAGCTAAGAGCATCTTGGTCATTATCAGCTCCAGGATAGATGCCTCTGGGACTCCTATGGTGACCTCCTTTCATTTTAAGAAGCAACCAATCCTTCCAGTTCTACACTGTGTTGATTATTCCCCATTGTATTGCTTTTGTTCATATATTTATTGACTTCTTTACTACAATTCTCTCCGATTTCTCTGATTTAGACATCAGATTTCTAGGCCTGCAGTTCTCTGGGTCTCTTCTGGAGCCCTTCTGAAGAGCTCCTATTACCTCTGGCCCTCTGATTCCTCAGCTGCTGGGGCCCAAGTGCTAGGTTACACCTGCCCAGTTAATACGGCAATTATTGTATATATAAATTCCTTTAGGATTCCTGGGTGAATAGCAGCATATTCCAGTGGGTAGCTTTTAGTCATTTTATTGATTTATTCTAGAATCAATTCCATTAATGCTTCAATATCAGATAGATGCTCCAGTCACCTGTTTGAATCTACTCCTGACACAGAAGTAGGAAATTTTTAAGTTCTTCTGTGATCAACACAGATGCAAATAGTATGATCACTTCTCTTCTATTGCTTTGACTTCTCCAAATCCCTTTTCTACCCTTTTGATCATTTATTGATCCTTGCACTCTTTGGTAAACTTTGTGCTTTGGATCTATTTAAAAATGAAGTTATGATTATTTTTTTTTTTAATTTAAAGCCTTTTTTGGCCTGCCTTATTCAGCTTTCGCATTCAACTGGCTTCAGTTTATGCTGTTCTGTTTCCTTTGTAAAGGGTGTCTGCTTATTTCTAATAGCTTATTTCATCTGGCTGTTTTGCAATGCCAGTCTTTTTCAGGTCTTCTTAAAGTAATAATGTGTTTTCCATGAGTGAGTTTTTCTGCTCTGATTTGTTTCAACCTGGCCACTGTCTTCATTTTAGATTCTTACCCTTTTAAATATTAAATACACTCATAGGATGTTTCAGGTTTTTTGGTCTTGAGCATACTAGGCTTGCTGTATGGAGTGCTTGTTAAAGATATTTTGGACTGACTGACTGTGAGTGTCCCTGTTTACTCCAAAGTAATTTATAGCGACTAAAAATTTAATCTTCAAGTTGCAACCATATTTGATGTTTGCATGGGAATAAACAAAATCTCCAAGTATTACTGTGTTTTCTGTCATTATAGCCCTTATGATCTCTTTGAAACTGTCAGTGTTACAGTCCTGGCTGTTTGCACTGTAGCTCTGATATGACGTTTATCCCATCTATGAATGGGACTTCAAACCAAGAGGAATCTGCATTATCCATGGATATAACTGAGTTACGTATCTGTCTTTAGTGCATAAACATAAAACACCACATCCGATCTGCCCTTCAGAAATTATTTTAATTTTTTATTAATGCGTTGCCCAATTATTTTTTCCCCCAGTTTCTGTTGTGTCGATTATGTCAAAAAACCTGATCTAGAGCTTGTTGTTAAACTCACCATGAATTCTGTTTGAAGCAAATGAGAACACGCAACTGCGTCTCGAAGCTGCTGCCGTGTCAGGACGCGGCCGGCTGACTGTAGGTATTCCATGGCTACTTTTTCTCGTGGGGTTGGCACAGCAACGAAAGGTTCAACACTTCCCAAACTGCTCATATCCAAAGTCAGTGAAACATTGGAGCCTCGTCTGTGTTAGAAAAGAATTAAAACAGTTGTATCAGATCTGTGTTACTCTAAGTCCCACACACATGCAGCTGATCCTGAGTTATTTATGCACCCTGACTTTCTGTATAGTCGTTGGGAGATTTGGGTATGCAAAGACTGAAAGACTGATTTTACTGGAAACACTGGGTGGCCAGAAAACCAAGATTTTATATATCATCCCACCTCTTGAATCTCACTATTTGGATTATTCTTAGAAGTAGAAACTGTTCCCTATATGATACTTAATCTTTATAGGTGTCAAACGTGAAACTGATATGTTAGTAAGGAATAACGTTTCACAGAAGAAAAAAAAAGGGGATATATTTCTAACTGATATATGTAACCACCTGGAAATAAATTTACAGTTATGTCAGCTGCATGTTTAAGAATCTGCTCAAATTAAATATACAAACTGGAGGCGAAAAAAGTGATAAAATCAGCAGAGGTAAGTGGAAAGGCAGTGCAAACATTGTAACTGCCAAGACTGTGGACAGTGTCTCATGTTTGGGAAGAGAGAAGGGAGAGGCAAAAATACCACAATAAATGAGCCGCATCCCAGGAGGAGGAACGATCACAGACTTAGAGGGGTTATTTGGAAATGCCAAACACCTCTTGAAGGACAATCAAATTCATCAACATTTCACATTTCTACAGGAAAACGAAGTTGGATTTAACAACAGTTTTAAGTCATGAAAATACAAATAAAGCACACCTCTGTGTGCTTGATATGAGCGCTACTCTTTTTGTCACTTTCTCCAAACAACACTTAAGAAAACTGTCTTTTTTCATAGTTTCAACCCATCAATAAATGTTATCTACTCAGCCCTTAACTTTAGACATATTGACCGAAATAAATCCATGCTCTGTGAATTGTGATGACTAAACACACATTTGTCGGCATTAATCAAAGTTTTTGTGTTTCACTAATCAGAAATCAGTACTCTAGTACTGATCTGTACCTGGGCTACAGATGCCCAGCTCAGTGTAAACATCTCTAACATTTACCAAGCAGCTCTGCATATATCAAGATATGACACTGCAAGTTTTATTCCTACCTCTGCACATTATTGTCTCTCTGTTAATGTATGCTTACAGGGGTTGTTCTTTATGCTCTTAGTTGCTCTACCATGCTCAGATATATACAACCACAACATAAGATTTCTGTCTCAAGTTTCTCCTAGCAGTAGTCCCCCCAGACTAGAATACAGCTCTACACCTTGCCTATTTTTAAAATCACATATGCCAGTGATTAACCATTTACTGGTTAATCAACTATCTGGTGACTCCAGTTTTCCTGCTAGAATTCTATGTGTTTGGGTGCATTTGTTATTGGCAGAAGAACGCCTGCTGGGTGAGTGTGACTGCTCACCGCTCTGGACACTGGGATGTTGTTAGGATACACCTGTCCCTATAACAGTAATACCACATATTGTTATAAATATCATACAGTCATCATCACATAGTATCTGTGAGGAAAGTACTATTAATACTGGGGGAATGGTTTCCTGTAGTCTGCAGCAAAAGTTGCTTGTGTTAACACTTACTTTTTACTGCCCTTTCACTATTTACCAGTGGCCTGTAGGTATTTGTATGTACACATATTTGAGCAAATTACTTCTCTTTTCAGGCACTGTAACTCCTTAGTGCAGGTGTTGCTGTGCTGTTTTCTGATGCCAGAATAAGTAGTCTTTGCTTTCTTCTTTGTTTGTAACCATACGAACATAACAACTTTTTTTTTCTTCTGACACAACTGTGATGCACTTCCCTTTTTCTTATACACGTCAGCATATCCTTCAGTGATTTTATTTTAAATTAAACCATTTCTATCATGTCAGTCTGCATGAATAGAAATGACACCAGTCACTCAGCCATCGCTTAGCAAAACACAAAGCAACAATGACCAAGAGACAAGACCACCTGGTGGAATCAGTGAATCTCACATTGTGCCATAGTGTCTGTAAACCTATTATTTCAGCTGAGGCGATGGGTGGGTGATAGCAAGAGCTTGGCTGCCCGGGGCTCACAGATGGTAACAGTGAGTCAGCAACAGAAGCAGAGGTAGAAGAGGCAAGATGAAGCCAAGGTGGCCACAGGCAGCTGGCTGCCTCCAGGCATAGATGGGGACAATTTCTATTAGCAGAGGGGAGTAGGTGGGGTATGATTCTGCTTATTTTCCTGGGAGGTAGGAAGAAGTGAAGTAGCATCCAGAGTAGAAATGACTAGTAAGTGATATATGCATAGGCTCCCAGTAGTGCTCTGTCGCTCACTACACACCCTGCATCATACAAAAGCCCTCGACAGTGGTACCAGTGCTCATACCCAAATCCAGAGCTGTGACAGCCTGGGAGGTGGGCATCCTGTGAGCTGCCTGCAGTGGCTACTCTCTGCTGGACCCTGCGGGAGGGTCCTGGCTCCGGTACCCATCCTAGCTCCCAGGGGACTGCCCCCGCCTGCAGGGGAAGCCAGTCCCCCAGCTCTGCGCCGCTTCTCAAGGAAAACATCCTGTTAGAATGCTTTCTCACAAAAATCCTCCTATGAAAGCATCTATTCTGACCACAACTAGCAATTTATTCAGCGGAAAAAGGCAGTCCCTCGAACAGGTGGCTCTGAGAGTGTGTATCGCAAACCCAATCTTTTGAAAGCAATCCAGAAATCCACAGAAGAGGTATGCAATGAACATCTCCAAAAAAGTTTACGCTACTTTTGTTTGAGAAATGGGTAGCAATTTAGACCCAGACACACTTCTGGGACAGACTACTGAGATTTCCTAATATAGAGGAAAAGTATTTGCATTGTTCAGTAACAAAGTACAGTGAAAATGTTAATATTTTCTTTGGCTTTTACATTGTTATAACTGACAGTCTTGGCAAAAAGGCTACTTCCTTTTTAACAACAACAAAAACTATACCTGATCTAATTATAACTTTGAGTTTACATCTTTTACCATTTATGGGGATTATTGATGAATACTGATGTTGAGAATCAAATAACTTACTCTGGAAAGAAGAAATAGTTTTTAGCTGCAAATTTTATATATCAAAAGCTACACATTGAATAAAAACTGAATGCAGGGCAGAAATTAACTATCTAACAGATAGCAGTCTTTTTAGAAAGTCCATAAGAGGATACACAACAGATAATAGCTCTAAAGACAATTCTTCCATAAAAATGGGCATCTCAAAGAACACTTTTGAAGAAGTATGCTTCAGTTAATAAAAAGATTTTAATAATGTTTACACTACCAATGCTAACTACTGCTGATATTAACATTCATCACGCAGACTTCTTTATTGCATTCAAGACCATGCTGAGGAATAGCAATGAAAATGGGACATATTGCCTTGTCTTGAAAGATGAACCCATCATACACTTTTACGTCCTAGTAGAAGATGCTTAGTCTCAGGTCCTACTCTGAACTCCTTGGATTCTCTATGCTCCAGCAGTAAAATTCTTTACTTTATGTAGAAAAGAGTAGAAATCAAGAATTCACTTCTTTTTCACTGCCTGGGTGAAAAGAGGTTAGTCAGTGAGTCCACGTTTTCCCACCTTATTGGAGGGACTGCACAAAGCTGGCCATGGAGCGACAAAGAGATACCACCTAACCAAAGCCTTTTTTTGCTAACTATCTCTTGTCTCCAATAGGTTTTGAATCAAGATATCACAATCAGACCAGTGATACTTCAAGTCAGACAACTAATTTTTCTTGGAGATATATCTATCTCTTGACTACACACAGGTATGTTTCCATTTCAAATTAGAGAGAGCCATACAGATGGGTTTTCCCCTATTTCTGAATATTTACAACCCTTTTTTACCTTCTAAATAACTTTATATTCTTTATGTTCCCCATGTTAATAGTCTGTGCCAAATTAAAGAAGACTTTGTTATGAAACACTTCCTCCAGCACCCCCTCGAAGTTGTGCCTTGATGGGGAGGAGCACCATGTGGTAATCTGAGAAATTGTAAACATTTGTGACAACACTGTCATAGAATCATAGAATAATAGAACATAGAATAGTTTGAGTTGGAAGGGACCTTTAAAGGTAATCTAGTCCAATGCCCCTGCAATGAACAGGGACATATTCAACTAGATCCTGTTGCTCAGAGCCCTGTCCAACCTGACCATGAATGTTTCCAGGGATGGCACATCTACCACCTATCTGGGCAACTTCTTCCAGCGTTTCACCACCCTCACTGTAAAAAACTTCTTCCTTATATCTAGTCTAAATCTACCCTCTTTCAGTTTAAAACCATTACCCCTTGTCCTACAACAAAGGCCTGCTAAAATGTTTGTCCCCATCTTTCTTATAAACCCCCTTTAAGTACTGAAAGGCTACAATAAGGTCTTCCTGGAAGCTTTTCTTCTTCAAGCTGAGCAACCCCAACTCTCAGCCGTTCTTCACAGAAGAAGTGCTCCGTGCCTCTCATCATTTTTGTGTCCCTCCTCTGAACCTGCTCCAATGGGTCCATGTCTTTACCGTACTGAGGGCTCCAGAGCTGGACAACATGTTACATATTACATTAAAATCAGCATGAGACTAACTCTTCCGAAGTTTCACCAGCTGTGACAGCCACCTCATCACTGGGTACATGAATAAGTGCAATCAGGAAACCACTTGTGTCTGTGTATTGTCTAGTACCCCAGAGGGGGGTCTTACTACGTACTCACTGCCCTCTTTTCAATTGGGTAATAGGAACAAGTCCACTGAGGAGAATCCACTCAAGTATTTTTAATAATACATTTACAGAAGCAGATTTTATTACATACCATGAAAAAAAAAAAGAAAAAAAAAAAAAGAAAGAAGAAGATTAATGCAATGTTTGTTTGAAAACTCTGAAAAGGAAGCTCCACCTGTCCACCTCGGAGGGCCACCAGGTTACTAATGCCTATTAATCATTAGCAAGGTCATTTCCAGGTCTTCCCTGACCCTAAAATTAAGCCATAGCTGGTGATTATGAAAATCCAATTACCTGACACGTTTT